TGTAGATAGAACGTTGAACGCAAATTTGAGTGGGCATGAACACTCGCACGTTTTGTGTGCATGGAAACAAGCGTCCAATTTGGGAGCACAGAATTCAATGCTGCATTGTGATCGAAATGCAGAACTAAAATAGTACAGCTGCAGAGTCCACCAGGGCTCTTTTATGTGCTGCAAATAATTGCAATCTGCAAGAAAACAGCATGCCTCCAGTGCAACTGGTGCATATGGCATTTTCGGTTGATATGGCAAAGTTTCTCATAAGTCACTGCAATGTGGGCTTCATCAACAGGCCAGGATATGGGGCAGAGACTCTTTCCACTGTTTGTGGCAGTGTGTTCCTGGCGTCCAGCTGATCGCAACATTCTGATGCCGATCTCCTTAAGAAGTATATATACGTTATGCCTGAAGCAAGGTGCACAATGGAGGCAGCAATGTGCTGCTTCTTGGTGTGCCATTCTCCAAGTATGCTGCATTGTGTGTTGATGGCGTGGTAGGCCTCTTGCATATGGATCAGTTGAAAGAGCATGGAATCTGATACACAAGATCTTTGATTCGATCAACTGCGAATAGAGGGATGACTGGGATGTGCAATCTGATACGTGTGATCGGTGATCAGACTAACAATGACTACAGCTGACAGATAGGATGCAGAATATGATTTGTCTGAAATGTGACCTGATCCGCGGGATCCTTAGGAAGGGTAAATCGAATGCATAAGCATCACAGGACTGTGTGAAAATCCAAGTGCGGTCCACACGGCCCGCACCTGAGGCAGGTTCTGGTTGGCTTCCCCAAGGACCTTCACGTCCCTTTTCTCGATCATCCTGATGAGCTGCTCATGCACGGTGATGGCCTCTGCAACGTCACTCTTAAGGGGAAGGAACTGGAGCCAGGTGCTGGCCGTCAGCCGGGCGTCCACAACATCGGAATGGTGCTCGATGATCTTTCCAATGGCAGAGATGACGTTGTCTGTGGCACTCTGGAACTCCTCACTATGCGCCTCAGGGCGGTTGACTACCTCCATCAGCTTTGCAAGGGTCTGGGCTGCTGCGGGCTTGAACACCTGAATGAACAATGAATCTATGTTCAGCAGACAGAGCCAACCTGATACAATGTTCGATTCCTCTTGCGAGTTACCATAATTGGACAAGGTCGCATGCCGGGCGTTGCTCGAATTAGCATGGATACGATAGGTCCAATAGCAAGGGCACTTCATTGCATTTGACAGCCGACAGTTTGGGTTGCTCTGCAGTAAATTGCTGATCGGTAGTTGCAGTAAATCGTTGATCGGTACTCGAGTGGTCAAAGGGCCAATGACAGTTGTGACCCAGCCTTTGCAGGGGGTTGACATGGCCATGTTGCACAGGCCACCAGTGGAAGCCTCCCTTTTGAATGGACACTCCCTCCCACCACCACCCCCTGTCCTTGCTTCAGTGGGCATGAGCAGTATCCAGAGATTTAAGCTGAGGGCCGGTACAGTGAGGTGTCATTGACATTGGCACAAACAAGCCACCTGCTGTCTAGCAAGGAGCTGTGTTGCAATTTGCCCCATTGCAAATGCTTGCGTCTCCATCAATGCAGGCCAAAAGCACCTTCACGTGCAGATTTCCTCAAATTACTTCAAGTACAGAAATTTACCCAATGTCCCTTCCAACAAGGGCATTTCAAGGAATGCAATTGCGGCGCTCCCATCAAACAGCCGTGGCTTCCTACTACTATCTTTGTAAAACAGCTTGGTTCTGAGGGCCGTTTGAGTCTTGTCAATGTGACAAGTGCCGCGAGCATCAACAGCACTGAAAGCAGGAGGGCCAGGAGGAGGCCATTTTGGGCCCAACCCGCTCTCACGATCATGACCTTCTGCCATTCCAGACTATTACGCAATTAAGGCACACAATGTTGCAATCGAGAGAAGAATCGCTGTTGGAACTGCATCCATCTTGACCATGCAGGTGCGTGGACAGCGTTTCCATTGGAAGTCAGCTGGCACAGCCACCAGCAAAAAATGAGCACTCTCTCACCCACCTCCGCATGTTTCTGAGCAAGGACACCAACGCCAAAGGCAGCACACTGCCGAAGTCCAGGGTGGTCGCTGGAGCAGCCCTCCAGGTAGATGGGCAGCAGCTGCATCACATACTTCTGGGCAGTGGCAGGGGCGAACTCACACACGTCGGTTGTGAGGACCACCACCATCTGCTGCAGCTCCGGCCGCTGGCGCCTGTTCAGAGTGAGTTATTGAAATGAAGTTGTGCAGTAAATGAGCGCATTGATACAGCGAATAGCTGACATCAGCAGATTGTTTCAAATTGGAGGAAAGCATGGATGGTTATGACAGCATGTGAATGTTATCAACAGTTATGCTGCTAACCACTGCGATTATGCATAAAGGTCCGTGGAAAGGCGGCAGTCCACAAGGCGCTGACTGGACACCGGCAGAACTGCATGTGGTTGGGCGGGCAACAGGACACTTTTCATTGGGAACTTTTTTCAGGTGCGAACAACGCCTGTCATCGCTTGCCACTGTAGCCAAAGGCTCAGTGAAGGCCTTGAAAGTGTCTATCTTGGTGTTCGATGCAGAGACCCAGTGCCTTGTGCTTCAGGGTGTGACATTTGCGCTGTTGGAGATTATTATATGCGGTCCAGGAACAGGCAGGGGCAGCAGGAGTGATGGTGTAATTTTGAAACTAGCACGGTGGGACACATTGGCCATGGCATGCACCTATGCAGTCATGCACCAGGTACCACCAGTTGCACAGTGCTCCAAGGACAGGTCACTCACAGCCTCTCAATCATGGGAGAATAGGTGGGTTGTACCCCATTTCAACAAGAACAAACACTCTTGCTCACTTTTGGTTCCAATACATTGCATCGTGTGTATGAGTTCAGGTGCCACCACTGGGCTGATCTCTGTGACAACGCACCCACATTGGAAGACTGTCACTTAAGCAAAATCTCTTTTGTTTCGCTGAATCTGATTTTTGCAGCGGATCAAGAACCTCTTGCAGAAACATACTTGCCAGGTGAAAGCCTTTGTAACTCACCTGTCCAACAGCGGTGTGAGGTGGGGCAGGATGGTCTCTACCCATGCACTGGCACGGTCGGAGAGTGTTTTCAAAACACTGCTCACAAATGTCTCCAGTTTGTCATACAGAGCAACCTCCAACTCAAGCTCGTCTTCCACGTCCTGATAGCCAGCAGCATGGGCATCAGATTTGTGGTCACACAGATCAATGGAAACAACACCACATCATTCATATCAACCGACTGCATTTGTGGGATCCACGTGCATATTGTGTGCCCCTGTGATGTGGGGTTTGGGGTGCATTCTTTTTGCAGGGCATGTTGAGTTCCTTGCAGATGGCTAAAACCACTAATATTGTCTGATAATGTGGACCCTGTGAGGACACATCCCCTGCCCAGCATTGTTTTTCATGTTGCTTTAACGGACTGGTTCACTCACTCCTGGATTGTAGATTTTGGGAATGGCATGAGTCGATGCATTCGATGTGCCTTTGAATTATATGGTTCTGTTCAGCCCACCACTGACCCAAACATGCGATGCGTGACTTGACAGCATGTTGGTTCACAAGGAATGCGAGCAGCATCGGTTTGCGCAAGTGAATCAAGTTCTGTGTGATGTCAAGGCACTAACTGGAACCCTCCAGTGCTGCTCCTGTTGTAAGCTATTATGCATAGCAGTTGCAAAACAATTGGGCAAGGTGCTACCCTGGCACCCATCAGGCACAGTCGTGCAGAGCTACAGCCCATCTGTGAAACAGATCCATGGGGCACCAAACAGCCCCGTGGAACCAACAAGCGCATCAAACTGCAGAACAACAGTCTGTGCCAAGTTGACAAGATTGCAACGCAAAGAAACAGCATTCAACACAATAATGACAGACCCAGTTGTACGAATGCTGGTGATCACAGCAACAGCCTGAAACATATCACTTCATTGTCTTCATGTTGTTTCCTGTGTAACTAATACTGGTATTAGCATTAGTAGGAAATACATTAGTAGCTGCGTATAACGAGATGGCAGCTTGGGATATGTGGAGCCACAACAAGGTGTAGTACCTCTGATTCTTCTGCATCTAGGTCTTCTTCCTTTGCCTGCATGCGATTTTGCCGCAGGGTGTCAAAGCGCTCCAGCACAGGTTTGACCCGGTCAACTGCCTTCCCAATCATCTCGTCGTTATTCAGCGGCCCCAGCAGCTCGATGATCTTGCCTAGTGCCTCCAGGGCATAGGGTGCTGTTGCCTCGAAGTCTGGCTTTTCGGAATCTGCGAGGTGCTGCACCAGTGCTGGCCACTGGACCCCCAGGAGGCCCTGTACGAAGGAAGCGTCTGGGCCACCTGTGCCTGAAGACTTGCAGGAGGCTGCCAGCGCACATGCCAGCAGCGCGGGCTGCTGCTCAATGGCAGCTTGGCACACCTATGGGAACAAGTATTGGACGTTGGCAATTATGGCGAGTGTGTTTTGGACAATTCGCATTCAGACTCATGCACAACATCGCCTTGGATGAGCCAGCGATAAGGGACAATTGTGTTTACACACACCTGTGGGAACAGGCACAAGTAGAGGCTGACGCTAGATGCCCTGCCTCTTGCTTTTCTTTGCTTGCATTTTGCATGACTGGGAAGTGCATGGACATGTCCCATTTTGGTCCGCAGGTACTGCAAGCAATGTATTGACGGCATGCAGTGCTATTGATGCAGGCCGCTGTGTCTGTTGCACTGCATGCTGTGAATCCAGAACAACAGCACTTGGAAGGACCTGATAGTTTAAAGCGCATTTGGAAGAATTGGCACAATAAAACAAGATTGATCTGTGACCAAACAACTCCGGACATACCACACACGCATGCACACACACGAAACCTCCACATGTTCTGTATCCAGGATAGCTCTCATCCCAGCAGCATTGGACAGTATTGGATAAATTGATTCAGTTTTCGTTTTAATGAGACTATGGCATTCGAGATTTCATTCAATGTTGCAAGAATGCCCCTGAAGGGCATTGAAGGTGCAAGGACAGCCGCCTCCTGTGTGGTTGTGACAAATGTGGTCATTTGTGGATGTGTACACTGGATCAGGAGAATTACCTCCACATGTTTGCACTCATTCACAAGAGGCGTGACGTGCTCAACGACTTGTGTCACATTCGTGATGAAGTCCTCCTTGAGCACATTGGCGAGTGCTGTGATCGTGCCGATGGCATCAGCCTTGTAGTCAAGGAGGTCAGCATCCACCGCCATAATCTTGCCACCCATCTCGACGATTTCAAGTCCCTCGTCTTCCTCACCGGACATGCCCTCCTCAGGGTCCAACATCTGCAAAATACCTATTATTCAGCTGCATAACGTGGGGAATGATGCCAGGGTTACAATGCCAATTGGGATGGCACCACAAATCAGTCAAAATGGGCACTTGAGACCACTGCCAAGATTCTTGCTGCCAAAGGTTAGAGGCATTATCCAGAGCATACACATATGTCTATCCGGATTCAGGTTTCAATAGGATCTGAGCACAAACAGGATAACATACCTCCAATTCGAACAGCAACCCAAGCCTCCAACCACATGAATGGTTAGCTCTGTGTGCAACAAATGTTTCTTTATTTTGCTGGTGCGAATGGAAGTATGGAATCACAAATATCAGGCAAGAACAATGAATGTGCACACACACAGGTATGGAGTTTTTGACCTTGACGTGTGGCTGAAGCTTCACAGCCTCCATCAGCGATGGCATGACCAGGGGCACGCACTCCTGGAAGGCAGGGCCCATGCATTCGCACACTATTGAGGCGACCTCGTGCAGCACCGCAAACACGTCCCTCTTGTCTTTGTCGGAATCAGCACTCTGAACGTTGCCTTGTACTATGTCCTTGTAGTAGGCCATCAGCTTTGGACAGTCTGGACTGAAGCAGGAAGCACCAGAGGCCTGCCCAACCTGCAGGTCAGTGGTGGCTCCAGATGTCAGCCAGGGTTCAGAATCACCATTGAGCCTCTCGCATTAGTACAAAAGCCATCGGAGGTCAGCACTGGCAAAAAACTGGGCACTGGGCATCAGCACAAAGCAACCGGAACTCGCCATTGGGGCAATGAGCGACTTCTATTTAAATGCTGTGCAGCTCAAAGCTTTCAGGCATACCCATTCACGCATTGACGACACCACATGACCCCATGCCCCACAGCAACCAGAGCCACACTTGCACCCACCTTGGCCATTGCATGCAGCATCTGGGCAAACAGAGCAGGTGACTTTTCATCTGTGGCCATGCCCATTGTGGTGTGGATCGCCCCCATCACTGCAGTGTAGTACTTTGCGAAATCTGGCGCCTCCACCTCCCCTGCAGCACTGCTCAAGAACTTCAGCGCCGCGTCCCTCACAAGGTAAGGAGATCCCGGCATCACCTCCAACACGGCGGCCACGACATTGTCCAAGGCAGGCTGCACAACCTCCAGCTTGCACTCCTGGACGAAGTCGACCATGCACAGCACCGCATGGGCCTGAACCCGTGGGCTGGACTTGTCCTTGAATAGAGGGTGGAGGGCAGACAGGAGGGTCTGGAACTGTGGGACTGTCAGATGCTCCCCGACCTCGGATGCCAGCAGTCCCATGGCCTGACAGGCAGACCACCTCACCTTGGGGTGGGAATCCTGGCAGCCCTGAACGCAGATGGACACCAGGCTGCCAAGCTGCTCTGGGAGGTCCTGCTCAGAGTGAGCCCATAACACAAAACATCAGGCCAGGTGGTGATGCGCTCTTCTATAGAAGTCGGCTTGGAACTCTAGAAATGGAGAGCTATGGAAGCTATTGTGCACTGTGCACTGGTTCATCTTGTGGGACCCTGAGATAGTTTCGATTTGCAGCAGAGCACACAATTTAGAGCCAGCTGCCTTCAGCCGCAGCCCTACTCCTCTGTCTCCCTATATTCATGTTCAGCTGGTGGCAAGGGTCTGTTTCCTCATTGCCTGCAGTCTCTGGGTGTCCCTTAGTGTGAGCTAGCAGCAAAACCCCACAGAGTACAATAAAACAACTGTGCTCAACTAGGCAGCAGACACTGCTCAGGTTTCCTTCCAACCAGTTGCTGTCCCTAACATGACTTTGCTTGCCCAGGACGCCACTCACATCGCTGCAGCCTTCAGCCATCTGGCCAATGCATGTGAACACTGCATGGCGTTTCTTCCAGTCCTGATCCCCAAGCCATACTGGGACCATCTGGCCTGTGATGGGCAGCATCGCTGCTCCCCCAACCAGATGTGCAAGTCGATCGATGGCAATCTCACCAAACATGAAATGGTCGCCATGGCCCTCGTCTTGATGCTCTTCATCGTCGGCCAAGTGCCATTGAGCATTGTCCTGGGCAACAAAGACTGATTCAGACAATGGATGAGAATTTACGGCCTGGGCATGCCAATAGGCCGCCACAAAGAATCCCAACACAGATGATCAAGGAGCAGAGTAACGATGTCAGAAATGACATTGGTCTGTCATGCTCGTTGTCTGTCTCATGGGCTGTTCATTGCACTGCAGTGATTTCCATGATTTCCTGTAAAAACTGCTGGGTGTCCAGACAGTATGCAAGAGTGACAAAAGCAAACATTGGAGTCTATTGACACAATCTTTACACCAACAAACGCAGCTCTCACAGATTTGTGTTTGTTTTCTGTACCTAAACAGCAATTGCAGGTACGATTATCACTGCTGATTGCAAATTTCACATGTTCTGCAACCATATATTTGCAAACGACCTGCTTTTAGACTGCACCATCATTTCTAGAGATCGCTTTAGCACGACCTAGTTTGATTCTGTGTCAGAGGTGCTGTTCTTAGCATAACACTAGACACGCCCAAAACGTCAATCCCAGCAGGTTTCAAGGGCATGTCCATGGGATGGCCTCAGCAGTTCCAAGAAAATCGCCTTCCAAAGCCCATAGCGGTGTTATTCACTACCCTGAAACATGAACAGGGAACAATTCATCGTGTTCAATCGATGAGGTAAGAGGACAGCACACTAGATGCCGGTTACCTGTATTCTGTGCCTATGCAGCTGATAAGCTGCTAGAGAACAGGGCTTCTAAACATGATGTCAAGTTTATTGAGGCAATGAAAATAACATATTGAGAGCACAAGAGTAGGAGCAGCTTGGCAGTGAGCATGAATAGACACTTGTGATTCTGGACAGCTCCAGGCAATACGTGAAGGGGGCAGAGATCCTTTCTATTGCAGCTCACACAATCAACACATTAAAAATGTTGGTGTGCTATGACACCTGTTCTTGTGACAATGCAGTCGACGTAGATAACAAAAGCCAATTCATGCTCACCTCCACGTCGAGCATGAATTCGAAGAGGATGGCTAGCAGCGCCGCCAACACGCCTTGCAGAGCTCGGGTGCCGTCATCCCCATCAATGGCCTCGATGACAGCCAACAAAAACTCGATGGCTAGGATGCGGTCATCAAGGGGTGTGCTGGGTGCCTGTGCACTTTGGATCATTGCTTGGACAGTGCTATCCAGGCTGGGGAGCCAGAAATTGGGGCACTCTTCAGCAAGTTCGATGAGCTCTGAGTAGGCCTGCTTTCCCGATTCCTTGTCACCCTGCCCACACTGCCAGCATCTTGACAACCAGGATGTGGATTGCTCCAGCAGGATCGCAGAATTTGGCAACAAGTTTTCACAATGTGCAGCCCTTGGCCCCACTTGTGAAGAACAGCTGCTCACGAAGAGCCCCAATACAAACACTGTCTCTCAAAACAAGCTGCTGCCACTTGACTGTCACAAGCAAAAGACCGTGCAAGTGGACGAAGTCCTTTGCACCCTGCCTTGAGCTTGCCGTGTCGGTAATTTTGACACTTGGTCTCCTGCAGTGCCTCACACTGTGCCTCTGCAGGAAACTAGCAGAAAAAAAGGCACTTCACACATCAAAACAGGCAAATGACAAGCTTGGGGGCTTGTACACATTCAAATCCGAGTACATGGAGTATTTTAGGACATGTCTGGCGATAGGCAACTATACCCACCGTGAGGATACAGGGTGATTACGTGGTAAATCAACAGCCTGAACAAAGCAAGAACCACTCTACATGGTTGTCTCCATTTCCTGGTCAGGGATTTCAGGGGTGACTGCTTATCATTGATACTTCAACTGGTGATGTTTGAGAGACCAACCACTGTGGTTGTTTGCACCACCGTGCTTACAGCCACACTGTTTGCAAGGACAATGCGCTAGTTGCCCACCTCTTGCCGAACAGCTTCTGGAATCTTCAGGAGTGCCGGGGCTGCAGCCTGGAACTTTGCAAGCTCATCCTCATCGTGGAATGCCACGATCAAGGCCTTCAGTGCCTTAAGGGCTGCCAGCTTCACAGTGGGTTCTGGACGTGCCATGCACGTCCCCAAGGCCCCACAGTACTGGTCCAGACTCGGTGCAATGGCATCCTTGATGCCCTCCGCCATTTCGGCCAGCATCAGGAGGGCCATTTCCACATTGAGGACTACGCCTGAGCCAATGCTCTGGGTGAGGAAGGGTATCACTTCTGGCCAGGCCTCATAGCCAAGCACCTTGGAAATGAGCTGTGCGATGAGATCGCCAGTCTGCAAGAGGCAGACAAGCGATTCAGGGCTGCTGGCTATGAATTTTCAGTCATGAGGCAGCGTGCAGCAGTTTTGCCTTGGAAATGAGCTGTGCGATGAGATCGCCAGTCTGCAAGAGGCAGACAAGCGATTCAGGGCTGCTGGCTATGAATTTTCAGTCATGAGGCAGCGTGCAGCAGTTTTGCCAGTCTCTTCATGGTATTTCCTGATCGCATTTGGTGTTGCAAGACAGAGCCATAGAATGCAAAGTCTGGCCTGAAGTTCAGCAAATCTTTTGCAGCAGTCTGATTCAATTGTCCCAGCATAAATCTTCTTCACAGTCATAAATCACTGGCCGCTTATTGTGGTAAAGTTAGTCTGCCCATCAAGTTAGGATTTGCAAGTGTCAGTTGCCAATTGCCAACGACTGGTGAGTGCATATGCCATTTACAAATAGGATGTCGAGCCCATGAAATGGGGGCTCATTTGTTGCTGTTAGATCTTACTTACTTGTCGCAGAGTATTCCGATCCGTCTCCTCGTGCATCACATTCAGCAGCTCTGCTTTCACCATTTGCTGCAAATGTCACAGTGAGTTGGCCTCAGTTGGTGCGCTAATGTATAGGTACCATTGTGCAGGAAGACCACAAATAGCACATACAGGGCATATAAAGGTGCAGGACTTTGCCCCAAATGGCAGTGCGTTAGCATCTGTACAGTTATCCTGTCCTTGACTTCACAAGAATTGCAAGGCGACCCGAAGCCGTTCAGATTGATCATATGCAAATTAATGCACTATGCGAAAGAAGAAAATACCAACCAATCTGTTTGCAGTGGGGTGGTTGGGTTGCTGATCAGAAAGCATAGCAACTCGTCATAGGTCATTTGTTCTAATGACAGTAGGGAAGAAAGTGCATTCTGACAAAGTGTTCAAATTGCATGGGGCTTCAACATTGAAAGCACAATGTCTCCACCTTGCACTTGTAATCCCGATTATGCTAACAGCAGCAAGCCATCTCGAAACAGAAAGCAAACGGACGACACTGCGTATCTGAAACAAGAGCAAAAGATGGACACGGAGGCGTGTGTCGGGCCCCCATATACCCCTGTGCGACTCTCAAAATGCCAATACGTCACAACACACCAAAATGTGCTTGAGCTCATGAACTGCAACTGCCCAAAATCTGCACAGGCACCCCAATTGCAACATTTCAAAACGGAGAAGCTGCCTGCACATATTCCTTAACACCCCATCCTCCAATCATGCACCAAGCACCCCACATCCACTTTCAAAGTTCCCACGAGCCGTATTTCAGACAGCAGTACATTCTTTTTCTAGATTTGACGGGATACTGAGAGCCCTTTGCCGATAGCTGTGGGCTGATCCGGCGAAGTAGCTCGCAGACAGGCTCCTCAAACCAAAGTCTTCGAGCCAACTGATTTGTCTGATGCGTCGCTTGCTTTCGGCAACCCGGCCACACCACCATCTGCCGTACATATCGCAACACTGACGGAGCCGTACATTACACAACACCGGCAACGCCATTCCGACTTTTCTCCCTTTGCTTTTGGCCCATCGTCCCCCAAGTCGCCCACCCACCTGCGACGCCTCCGTCAGGTTGGGCCACACCGGCGGCTGGCCCTTCGTCAGAATCTGCGAAACAGGCGAAGCAGACGTCACGGCCGCACGGCTGTCCGTCGGTAGGCGCCCCAGGTCGAATCCCCCGGCCGCCGCCGGCAGATCAGATTCACGACCGCGCGCGACAGGGGGAGCGCGGCGGGCGGGCACGCATCACCTCAGGGCGAATCTGGGCCCAATCTTGCGCCGCCTGCACCAGGCGCCACGTGCTGCGCCCGCAATTTCCCCGTCCACGCAGCGCGCGACGCACTGCCTTGCCCCGCGCATCGTCATCACCTAAACTCCCCACCAAACCGTCCATCTCAAGCGTGAATCAGCCAACGCCTGCCGGCCGACTCGCCTCAGCGCACCCAAAGAGATGAGCAAGCTCCCGGGGGCGGCGCCGATCATCATCCCCCCAATGCCCCGCCAAATCCATCCATCCCCCAATTCAGTGCGGAATCGATCAATGCCTTCCGCCCTTCCCATCCCCGGATCGATGAGCAACCATCCGCGTTTCCCCCCCCGTCCCCCCCAACCCCCTTGTGTTGTGTGCTCATCATTTCGCTTCGGAGGCTCCAAATCATCTTCCTACGGCATGGACAAGAATTTCGCATGGCAGGGGTGCCCTGTCTATGACCTGCCCTTCTCTCTTTGTGACAAATCTTACCCCACCCTACCCCACCCCCCTCCCCCGGGGTCCACGACCGACCTTCCTGAGCAGCATGGCACACAGCGCCCTCTCCACCGCGCCGTCGCCCCGCCGCAGCACGCGCGTTAGCCCCGCCACGCACTCGTTCGGGTGGGCCTCCCGCATCGCCTCCAGCACCCTCTCCGACCGGCCCCGCGCCTCGCCGTCCGCGCTCAGCAGCCCGCCCACCAGCGCCTCCGCGCCGTTGGCGCCCAGGGCCGCCTGGACGGCCGCCTGGACCTCCGCGGTCGCCATCGCGAGATCGATCAAGCCGCAGACTCCCTGCTTCCACCACAGGCGATGCGGCCACACGAACGGATCGCCTCTTGCCGGTTGCGAAGAACCTCGCCGGCTGCGGGGAGGTGGGCGCGGGGAAACGCGGGGGGAAATTTTGCGCGGGAGGTTTTGGGTCATCGCCGTTTCAGGGTGGCGCGGAGGGCGGAGGCGGGGCGACGACGTGACAGCATGCGCCCGCCGGTGTCGCCCGGTCTGACCCGAGGGTCGGCGACCTGTCCACCCGGGACAGGGCAATTTCTGGCAGTCTGGCGGACCAGAAACTGGGAATGTTCTCTGGGCACAAAGTACAGGGGGCCTGGAAGGGGGCCCACGCCGTCCTGGGGCAGGACCCCTCCAGACGCGGAGGCCCTGTGGGCAGGGCGCGCCGTTCGCCCAGCGACGCCCGCCGGCGGCATCAGGCGCCCGTCGCTCGTGCTCTCGCTCTTCTTGATTCCGTCGTTCCGTTGGCGGCATGGGGAAAGCTGCGGACGGGCGGCCGAGGCAGTTCTACGTGGGGGTGGGACAGGTGGCCCCGGAGGTCAAGCTGGTGGGGCGCCTCTGACGCGTCGCGGGTCTGGCGGCATTGCGAGAGTGCGCGGTCGCCTCGCTGCACGTAATCTCGTAATTCTGTGCGTCTTTCAGCAGGGTTTGTTGTCGCCGTTTGCTGTTGAGATCACAGAAACCTGCAATTCCGCGGAAGTGCCTTGCCTCCTTCCCGTGAGCGTGCTCCAGCTGCAGATATGTCCAATGTTGGCGCCCTACTCGGCTTCCACGGGAGTGTGAAAACCAAAAGCAACCCCGTGCTCCAGGAACCCTGAGGGGGTACGCGTGTTTTGCGGCTTTGCGTCCGCCCATCTGGAAGTGCCACGGCCTCCCTGCATAGCTCGTGGCCTTTTTGCTTGCCAAAGCTGCCGCTCTGGGGCGCTGTTGGCTTCCCCGTGATGTTCTCGTGGATTCGGCTCTTGTGCTGCTTTGGCCCTGACGCGGGGGCGCAACTTGTGCAGAAAACTCTGGTGGACCTTCTCAGGGCTCTGCAGGCGCACAAACCGCTGACTCTGGCTGTATGCTGCAAGTAAGACGCCCTATGAGACGCGCCCAGCGGCCCTTTGGTGGCCGAGCGATGTGCCATTGGATCCAGTGCCAGTGCCAGTGCCGGCTCGCCAACGTTCATTTTTGTCCCGGGAATGTGGACATCTGCAAGCAATGCTGTTCGCGCCATCTTTATTTGCGCAATTTATTGCAGAAGCTGAATGCCATTCATTGTCCGTCTGTCGTTCGAATGCATTGCAATTGAGCTATTTGTTGCTGCTTGCGGAGTGTGTGGCAATGCAGAGTGTGTGGGCAAGTGCTAGCTTGATGCCTGACCTGGTCGAGTTACACAACCAATCTCAACTGCATCCCTCCGCACGTTGGATGCAACATACTGCGAAGTATTCAACCCTTCCGCATAGCAACGTAACATTTGGCTTTTTGTTGCAGAGCAACAGTAAAAATATAACAGTGCGAAGAAAATGTAGAGCAGCCTCAACTGCAATCCTATTTTGTCTGGACTGCTCGTGGCGTCTGGCGGCCCCAGATGCACGAGTCGCTGGGGCGGAAAACCGGCTTTTGAGGCCATGCCAACTCAGCAGAGTCGCCATTTCGGCTGTGACCATGATGCAAAGCCCCCAACATAACGGCCTATCGACAAAATGCGGAGCAAAAATGGTAATGGTGAAATTTTCTCAGGTGGAAGGGTTGAATATTTCGCAGTAGTCTTGCCATCTACGTGAGCTTCCCAGGGGAAATTGTGGGCATTCTATTGACCTACGGGGCTGTACATTGCCGCGTGCTGATTGTGTAACTTTACGTTTTGTGAGTTGCTCTTCTTTCGTCCTTGCAGCTCAAGGGACTCTCTTGATCGGGTGGCGTGTTGTCTGACAGCAACACAGGAGTTTGCTGTGACCTGTTTGGTGCGCCCATCTTTTGTATTTTCTAATACACCCTGAGTTGACGGCCTGCCAAACCTGCTAATTTTGGGGGCTGCAACAGCCATCAGCGGGTGCAGCAAAGCACTGCTGTACACTGAATTTCCTCAGTGGAATGTGCTGTTGTATAAAGGAGAAGAAGGGGCGTCTAATATAAGCTGCGTTGAGTGGGTGCATGTCCGCAGCTGCATGGGGTGACATTCTGGATCTTTTGCCACAGAACTGCATGTTCGATATTGTCCCAGCACCCTGGATTTACATCCTTGTGCAGTTCTCAGATCTGACCGAGATGCAGCGGGGTAGCATTATACAGAATCTGAAATCGCGACAAGCAGAACTGCGGCAGGTCGCAGAACAGGTCCCCCCTAGCGACATTCCTGGCGACCAAGGCGATAGAGATGACGAATGGCAGGGCAGAGGTGGCTCAAGGCTTGAAGAAAATTCAGACAAGGAAGCAGCTGAAGGCAGCTTGAAAACTGCACAGGTTGTGGTGGTGACTGATGCTGTGCTCAAGGTATCCAACCGACACATGCTGGATTTACCACTCATCCTCAATTACGACCTCCCCCAAAGAAAGGCAAGTGTGCTGGCAGACTGCTGGCCACAGGGCAGGTTAGGGGATTTCATGGACAAGAGTTTGTTACCTTTCCGCTTTATGAGGAGTATAGGGGTTTTTGGCTTCCATCCTGTGATTGAGGTGGCTGGGAGCTACTATTGTATCTGTGCACCATGCTGAGTAATGGGCTCTGATATGCTGCTCTGGTTGCTCTTCAGGAAACCTTACAGCGTCGGATATCGACATTGTTTGGGAATGGGCACCACCAGAGAGGTGCACCTCATGCCATTATCAACTTCGTAGTTGCCGGAGAGTTGAAGCAATTTAGGGCTGTGGAAGAATTCAGTGGGGTACCAATCGTTGAGATGCCTATGATTGTGTCGGACATATTTGGCGAACAGAAAAGGGAAGAAGCATTGCAGGATGCACATTAGATCCTTGGAACTCGTTTTATGTCACACTCAGAAGGATCCACACTCTGTTTTGCATTTGTATGGTCTCTTCTTTTCAGCTTAGGCCGTTCCAAGCTGCAAACTTGTAAACAACCATTCTTTACAACCGCTGCTCCTCAAGGCTGCAAAATGAACAGGGACTGGAGCCCCTGCTCAGGCTGGGGCGCCATTCCTATTGCAGGCCTTCTGCAAATGAAGGAGCTGAATATCAGTGCCTCCACATACACCGCACTTCAAAGAATTCGTTACACCCTTGCCAGCCACGTCATCAATTCCAGGGGCTGCCATCCAGGCAGCCATCAGAAGCAACCTTTCGATTCGAACCTCTGGCTTGTTGACTACCACTCTCCCCCAAATCCTGCGATCAATGTGCAACTTCAGATCCCTATTGCATGTCTTCCCTGCCATGACATTTGTGCAATGGCCACCCCGTCCTGGCACCAAGGCAGTCACCAAGCATCGCAGTGCTTTTAGCAGCCAGTTTGGGTCTCAGTTTGGGAATGCCCAAATGCGAAGCCCCTCGCAGCGAACAAATCAGAGGACAAAATATGCTGAGACGGTTCCCACAACCATCGTGACATCTTCACCTGAAGAAGCCTGAGTGGCAGTTGAGGAAGGGAATACTGCCTTGGCAAGGAGAGCCTGAAATCGTCACTGTGGGATGTCAGTGAACCATGCTGATGTGCACTCAACCCCGCTGTCTGCATTCACATCATGAGCACAGCTCACAAGGATGAGCCATGAACTTGCCCAGCCGAAGATGTACGACCTGCACGACAGACAGCGGGAATCGATTCGATTTGTGGCTCCCCAGGGCCACAGAACCTTCGTGCATTTCTTGCCGATGACAACCTTAGCACCCTAGTTTCGATCACTGTTGAGGATCAAAAGCACGCCACCTGCTGCACTTCTGGGCAGACACAGGATGTGTGTTTCCTTGCCCTTCCCTTGGCCCTGCACATACTAGTGCGTGGACCCTCTCACCCAAATCAGCACAAGGTGCACGCAAAATTCTCATTGTGGCTCCACCTGCTCGCCTGCCCTTGTCAAGTGCCAATGCTCTCACACATCCCCACAGGGCACCAGTGTGGTTCCATGACACCACCTGTTCCCCACGCAGCTGGCTGTCACTGTCGTTGTGAGGCAGCTCCGGTTTGAGTCGAAGTTCAACCTCTACAGCCACATCATATGCCATCAGCACAGTTCTCCTCCATTGCTCGGATATGCAAATTCAGCTCCTGCAGCTTTGCATATCGCTGTGCAAGTTGCGCAAAGCGAGCATGCAACAGATTCGCCTCCTGGAGCAGAACGTTTTCCTCCTCGTTGGCAGCGATCTTGAAATTCTGAATCTCCTTCAGTTTCCTTTCCAGGGCACAGGTGGGGCCATCAGTCTGCGGCGATGGCCGTCGGCATACTCGCTTTGCTGCTCTGGATTTCGTCCTCTCCCGCACACATCGAGGCTGTGCCTTCCTTTTTCGAGTCTCTACCATACAGGGAACTTCTGTGGCATCGTAAAGCATGAAGCTGTTAACTATGCGGCGGTCTGTCTCATCCAGGGTCTTGGACATCTCCCTGATGCAGTCCCAGTACTCAATCCCATACTCGTACAGCAACTCGTCCCCTGCCTTGACGTCCTCTACTGTAAACAGGAACAAAAATGGAAAGCCACAAACATAGACAGGAATCAGGTCTGCATTCTGATCCCCAACAACCAATCTGTGCCTTGGTTGTGGATACCCTGCCGGATTCACACATGCATCATTCACTAGCGCTGTCTTGTTTCCATAAGCAAATGCCGAAACCCCAAACCCATGCTCCACACCATTGACATTGACTGCGATGTCAACTGCATACATGTCAACCAGGTATTTCCAGATTGCCTTGGGGCTGGACCCGTCCTGCACTTTGGCCTTCCAGTGGGGCGGGGGGGTCTTGCAATACCGCTCCATGGCCTTTGGCACCAGGGCAAGGCAGCGGTAAGGACCAAGGCATGTGCCTGCAGGTATGTCCTGCACGGCGCGCAGGCCCCTGTGGCCCCTCAGGCCAACCCGCCTGTCACTGGCGGTCACCTTGTAGACCTCAAACAGGGGGCTGCAGGGCACATCTTCAGGTAGGTGCATCCAGCCTAGCTTGGGGATTGGACGCTTGGGCGCACAGCCGATCAGTTCCAGCACCCCGCTCAGCATTTTGGCCCTGTGGTTTACCCCATCCTCCATGGTGATGTCCAACTGGGACACAAGGGCACAAAGGTCATCAGACTTGTGCAACAGTGGGACTCCAATGGCCTGATTTGGCTACCGACAACAGCATGACACAGTGCTGCGTCAGTACTCGAATTGCGACGTTGCGATAGAAAGAGCAGCGACTGCACCAACAGTGTCAGCTTTTTGTGCTGTCCGGGTTACAATTATCAATTACTGAGCTGAAAGCATCGGCAAGCTGAGGTTGTCAAGTTATTATGTCAGGGCAGGCTGATGACTGGGGCAGGCTGATGACTGGGGTAGTGTGAAACAGGAATGGATCATGCCTCTGCTCTGTGTTGACATCCTCTTGCGCCAAACTCCAGGACAAACTGCACATGCTGGTCCCCTTTACAATTTGTGCAGATATTCTGTCGCATGGTGGCATGGTACATTATTTCATTCTGCCGACAATCCCCAGTGCAAGGCATCTCATTACTTTGCACAGCCTGAAAGCGGCCTATATTCTTTGTGATGGAAGGCAGTGCACCAAAATCCATCTGATTCAAAATGTTGAACAATCCAATCTTTATTGCCATTTTCTGTGTGCGGGGTTTCGACCTTTAATCCTCGAAATGCACTCTGACGTTGAGAAGTGCACAATCCCAACTGCTTGGCTATTCCTTAGAGCACCTGCCTATCCAACAACATCACACACCGCCTCACATCTACCCGCAAAAGCATTGGCAGTCTTCAAGGACGCCATCATTGACCTCGTCAGCACTGATTGACTCATGGGCTCAACCGTTCGGGCTCAAGTCAGCTCGACTTAAACTGCACTTCCGCACAGATTTGTGTTGCACAGCTTGTCACTGGTTCTACCTTCTTGCGCCTCTTTTTTGTGCTCTGCCTAACTCTCGAAACAAAGAGCTTGAACACAGGCGCCGACATGACACATCCCAGCACTTGGACATCGTCTGGGAGGCAGGGGGGCAGCTCCGCCACGCAACCAGACAGCTGTCCGATCAGCTGCTGATGCTGCGACGACTTCATCGAATCCAGATCACGGCCAACGCCCCTCCATCACCAAGCCGGACAGATTCAGGAGGCGTCCCTACCCAAAACTGCAGCAAGAGGACAGGAACCGTTATGTGTGCGTTCGGCGAACATGCAGGCTGCAGCAATTCTCTGCAGTGGGAACAAGCAGGCAATCATTTTTCTGCACAACGCACAGATATTCTCCACGACGAAAGGGAGGACGTAGCTGCTGCAATTTTTGCTTCAGTGTGGACGACGACAGTCCGTTCACCTTACGCCGCTATCATCGCGCAGATCTGGCGAACACCCTCGCGCCCGCCCCGCTTCGGGTTCCTTTAGGAGTTCGCAACAGGGAGACAGGACAAGGAGTTCCCCACAACGAGCGAGGCCATCGCGGCCCACAGACACAGCTCCATCAACCCCACGGTTCAGGCGATATCCCCCGTCACGCGCCGAAAGCCCGCCATCGCGCCGCTCGGAAGCGCGATGGTCGTCGGCGCCCTTCGCGACACAACCTGGCCCCGGCACACACTCCGCCGACGACCGCCCTCGCATTCGGCAGCCGCCAGAGCTGCAAACGCCGCTGGCCCCGCTCCCTGCCGCCTCGCGGTGAGCGGCGCAGTCGCCTCGCTCCCACGCTCGCCCGCCTTCTGCCCTCCTTGCCCGACGCCTCCAGCTCAATGCAGAGTCCCCAATCCCCCAATTCAACTGTCGAGTACCTCTGTAGTTGCTCACCACGCGGACACACTCCCTGCGATCCTCCCGTGGGCGCCGTCCAGTTCACCGGCGGCCTTCCACCGGCCGTCACCGGCCGCAACGGCACCGTATTGGCGCCGGGCCCAGCAGGGCGGACAAGGAATAGGGATGCACCCTTGGGCCTGGGGGCGGCCGGGACCGCGGCCAGGGAGCCAGGGCCCGGCAGTCGCGGGGAGGCCTGTGACGGCACAGGGCGTCCGACTGTGGCCGGACTGCGGGGGCCAGCTTGTTGACAGAAACGGCTTGGCCACACAAGGCCAGAGAGGGGGGGAGGGTGGGAAGGGCGCGGAGGGGCAAGGATGCCCACCCCTGGAAGTTGTCATCTTGTGGGAGCCGTAGCGGATCACGGATCATTGGACGGGGATCAATGCACATCATCACGGTGGAAATGTTCGTTGAAGAATATGTTAGTCCCTTCCGTGAGGATCGCTTGTTCTTCCCCTGACAAGGCCAACGTGGGTCAGTGGGTCAGTGGTTTAGGGTTCAAGGTGACACGGAAAAGACAGAGCGACTAATTTCATGCTGTTCATTGCCGTGCCTGCGCTTCGGTCTGGTCGGTTCCCAGGGCTGGAGTGGTGGGACTCTGTAGTGTTGAGCTTTATCGCCTGGGGCTGTTTTCTTTAAAAAATCTCCTGGGAAAGTGATTGCGACCTCAGCGACGATGTGATCAGGTGTGTGGCATCCACGAAGGTCTGGGCCAGCACTTGACGAAGACATCCCCAAGGAGTCCTCCAGTGCTTCCTCGCGTAAGCTGTGGGCAGAAAAATTATCCACTCCGAAGATTGAACAAGCGGGAAAATGGCAGGCTGCACCGCGAAGGCGGTCTGCCAGCCAGCCCCGATGGCGATTTTTGCGTACCCTCACAGCCATGACCCAAGGAGGCTTCGATCCCTTCCAGGGAGCATATCCGGACCGGTACTTGTCATCTCATTAAGCTACTGAGAGTTTGTGGGTTCAAATGTAGTCATCTAATGCCCGAATTTGAGGACTCCTCCCTTCACAAGCAAGTAATGCCCACTGGGTCAGGGAAACCCCACTGCCTGTCCTTAGCAGTGGGAAAGGCAAACCGCTACCTGTGACGTTCAAGGTCGTGCGCAACAGCAACGAAAGACATTGACGGTTGAGGAGCGAGCAGGAAGCAAGGGCGGATGACTGGGGAGGAGGGCGAGGCGTGACGCTGGCTGCGCACAGTGACGTCAGGCGGACATTCAAGGTAAATGTCGCCATGTCGCCATCAAAATGAGGAAGACCACAAGGTCGCGCCGGATCCCGCCCGCCCAAGTCCACGGTCCAGACGGCCAACAGAGAGGCGCGTCCGCCGCGATGCGAGCGCACCGGGCGGCCCTGGGCCCAGGCGCCGCGGTGGCGGCGACGCAGCCGACGGCGCGATCAGTAGCCGCGGTGCGCCGCCAGGGCGTTGCTCCCTGCAGACAATGGACATTCCCAATGGCGCAGCTGGCCGCATTGCGCGGACCTCGCCTCCCGATGCAGCACGTTCTCAGCCCTTCTGGCGCCGACTCGAGTCGAGGCGGCGGGGCGGGGCGCGGCCGGGGCGGCATCGCTTGCCGAGCGACCCTGGCGGAGGTGCTGACGGGCGTAGGGCTGTTCTTCACGCCCGGCGCGCTGGCGTGCCTGTACGCTCTGTACCTGGGCAAGGGCGACTTCGGGGACGGGCTTTCGCGCCTGCTGACCCAGGTCAGCCGCGGCTACTTCCAACACAACCTGGGCGGTGACCACGTGCCGATCTGCGACGGGAAGCTTTCGGACCTGACGGGCGACAAGCCGCTGTTCACGTTTCTGTACGACTGGTGGGTGCTGGCGGGGCCCGGGGGCGGGGACGCGGGTGAAGACCCTGCCACGCTTGCGCCGAGGGCTGGCGACCGCTGGGATGGGGCGCTGGGCGTCGTGTTGGGAAGCCCAGGGGCTCTGGGGGGCGGATCTGGACATCCTGGTCGATGCGGCCAATGGCGCTCCGATTAGTAATGCAGTGTGGATTTCTCGCGTTTTTCGAATGCGAAGATTTTCCGCCCAGTGGGAATTTTCAGCTCTTGTGCGCCCTTGGTGGCGATTGTGGACCTCTTGTAGACGTCTTGACTGCGTCTGTCGGGAAGCGACAAAACGCTGTCCCCGTATCTGCAATGCCGTGCTGGGCGGGGGTTGCCCCGCGAAATGTCCGTGATGGGCAAAGACGCCATTATAGGCCAGATTAGAATCTTCTTGTGTGGTTGACTGGTCAACGCAGGTTCGTTCGACAAGGGGGCGTCTACAAGCTCGAGTTCGGTCCGAAGGCGTTCTTGGTGGTGTCGGATCCTGTCGTCGTCAGGCACATCATAAAGGTGCGGCCCTGTCTTCAATTGCCATGCCCAGAGGCGATTGAGTGTGGAAGATATATGCTCCGCTTTGAGCAAGCTTTCAGGGCAGGTCATGACATGTTGCTTGTTGATGGAACGCCTTGTTGTCATTAGAGTGCTGCGGGCACTCAACATTCCGACTTGCGATGGATCCAAAACACCTCTTTTACTTCATATCTGTCTTGAAAAGGCAGGGCAGCGCCCTTTCAAGTCGCTGTTCCCCTGCTATGGTCCAGAATTCCTTCGAACTTACAGGCCTTAAATCTTTTGCACTTTTATCTGTGACAATCTCCGTTGCATTTCATTTTGTACTTTGGGGACTTACCTGGCTAGATATTATGGTTTGAATTATTGAGAACAATAAAGCTAAGGGTACCAAACCAATCCTGACAGAACTATGCCCCGTTCTGTCAGGAGAACTATGACAACTACGATAAGGGCGTTCTTGCTGAGATCCTTGAGCCCATCATGGGGAAGGGTCTCATTCCGGCAGACCTGGAGACCTGGAAGCCACGACGGAGAGCCATCGCACCTGCTTTCCACAAAGCATTCCTGGAGACAATGATGGAAATGTATGGGAAGTGCACAGAGAGGTGCATCCAAAAGTTCGATGGACTTCTCAGCTCAGGCTCCACCCCGACAGTGGACATGGAAAAGGAGTTCCTGAATCTTGGCCTGGATATAATTGGCCTAGGTGTGTTCAACGTCGACTTTGGAAGCATTAATGAGGAATCGCCTGTCATACAGGTAAAGACTGTTCAGGATTTGGTGAAGTACTTTGTGTGATGCTGTAACCTTCCCTGTAATTTGTTTGCTACCCTTGGTGCCATATGCTCTTGCTGGGTGTGCTCATCTGCGATGTGAAGCAATTTGGTTTCTGGAGCTTTTTTCCTTCAGCCGGACATTTGGTATGGCACCAGGGGTGTCAGGTGCCAATTTTCACACAATGAAACTAGGACACCGCTTTCAGAGACAGGAGCCAATCATTGGGGTCTGCAGCATCTTTGCCTTGCCAATCGCGATTCAGATGCTGGTGATTGGTTGCCACCCAGAATGTGAACGACCCTTTCCATGAGCAATCTGTCAGCGGAGTGCTTCAGCATGCTAAGGACATAAGCAAACTAAATTGATTGAACAGTGGATGTTCCATTAACAGGCATAGAATTTTGTTGCTGATTTTTGTTTGGACTATGGTACTCTTTTTGTCGGAAACACTTTACTCACACTTGTAAGGCAGTGACAGCTGCTTTTGAAAAGTTTATTGTGTTTCTCAGATGGTGCATGGTTGGCTCACGCAGCCTCTGTCATCTCTGTTGGACCACATGAGTGTGCCTCTGCAATCATCTGGGAAATTTGTCTTGCAGCGCGAATTAAATTGCAGAAGGCCATGGCAAATAAACCCCATGCACCATAAAGGCGATGATGCAACCAGTTTGCACTGGTACTGCAGGCTGTCTATGGTGTGCTCAAAGAAGCTGAGCACCGCTCCACAACCTACTTTCCATACTGGGACCTACCCCTGGCGAGGTACTTGGTGCCCAGGCAGAGGGAGTTCCATGCTGACTTGGCAGTCATCAATGGCTGCCTCGATGACCTGATTTCTCAGGCCAAGTCAACACGCCAGGAGGAGGACCTGGAGCATCTGCAAAACAGGGACTACTCAAAGGTGGGCTTCAGACTGCACGTGATTCTGACTGGCAGGATTCGAAGATGGAGTTCAATATGCACCGCAATTTCATTTGCCACAGAATATAGAGGCGATTACCTTGAACCTACAGGATGGCATCAAAAATGTCTGACATTTGCGGTTGTACCAGCAATGAATTTGATCGCACTCGTAACAAGCATGCGTTCAGCACTCAATAAGAACTAAGTAGGTATAAAAGAGGGTCACTTGCTCTGACAAACAACTATGCCCTTCCCCCCCCATTGTTGCAGGTTGGGGAAAGAGGCGATGGGTATGTTCAGTGGCTCATTTCATGGGGTGGTCATTCTACTTCCCATGTCGCCTCAATTCAGATAAGGGTGCGTTCATGACGTTTTTCATATGAAACAGAGGAGCATCAGCCCTGGCGTTTATATATTTTGGTGCAGGTGACAGATCCTTCATTGCTCAGATTCCTGGTCGACTTGAGGGGAGAGGATGCCTCTGACATGCAGCTGCGCGATGACTTGATGACAATGCTGATAGCCGGGCATGAAACTACTGCAGCCGTTCTCACATGGTCGCTGTTCCTGTTGTCCCAAAGTTCTGAATGGCAGCAGAAGGTATTGGATGAAGTCGACGACGTAGTGGGAGATGCTGTTCCAGGTATGCAGCCATCAACTTTGCTCGTTGTAACTTGTTATACGTTTCTGTTCTACAGGTGTTGGGTGTTGAAGGATGTTGCTGAATCTGTACCCTGAAGTCCCTGACCTACAACTCTGCCTGTGAAGATGTGCAGCTATGCGCCAACACTGTCCTAACAGGACAGTGTCCTGACAGGTTGCCCTGACAGGACAGTGTGGACTTTCTGCCACACCACATGAGGGCGCAGGGCAATGTAGTGCGGATGTTGCTATTGTTGTTCAGATCATTTGAGTGCCAACACTGGAAAGTGTTATGTCTCCAACCCACACTGGGAGGCCTTCAACTTGGTCCACAATTTTGGCACCCATGTCCTCCTTGCAATCATTGGATGTGTTGCAACCATATGCCAGTAGATCATCAGGAAGTTGTCACAGGCTCAGGTACATGCCGACTGCTTGCCATCGGCTGATGCCCATCCACTGGCTTTGATGTCTTTGCTCTAACTATGGAAGGAGTGTTGTTATCTTGCAGATCTTGAGGCCATTAAAGGTCTCCCTTCCCTTCGAGCAGTTCTTGCAGAGTCTCTTCGCCTGTACCCCCAGCCACCCATCCTCATTCGGCGAGCACTGGCAGACGACGTGCTGCCCCCTGGCCTGGGTGGACACCCAGATGGCTACCCAGTTGGAAAGGGTGCAGACCTCTTCATCTCTTCATGGAATCTACACAGATCTCCACACACTTGGAGGGACCCACACGAGTTCCACCCTGAGCGATTCTCAGAGACCTTCACTAACGACAACTTTGAGGGGCACTGGGCAGGTATGGAGGAGCCAAGCTTGCAACAGAAATGCTTGAGCATCAGCATTATGGCACCTGTGATATGGTGTACTCAACAATCCCTTGTATCTGTTAAGCAAGAGGTCGCCTTTACGTGGGTGCTGTTGTACAATTATGCCAGTGTCGTTTGTGATGAGGCAGTTCAGCGTGGGGCATCCGAGGCAACACAGGTAATGATAGTTCCTGGTCACAGAGACTTGACAATAGCAAATCAGCAGAAAAATGACCCCACCGTTGTGCCAACTAACCTAAAATTCGCGAATTACTGCTATGTTTTCCTAGGTGTACAATAACTGACATCTTTTGGAGCGATCATGCGTCCTTCTGTTGTAAAACCATAAGTTGCACCAGGCAATGGCATTATCTTGCAGCGAAGATCTGCTGTGCGTGTTTGCTGCAGGCTTCGATCCATCTGCAGGAGGCAATTCGCTGTATCCGAATGAGGCTTCGTCTGATTTTGCATTCATCCCATTTGGAGGCGGGGCTCGGAAGTGTGTTGGGGACCAATTTGCCTTCTTGGAAGCTGCCTTGATCATGGCAATGCTGCTTCGAAGGTTCAGGTAAGGCAAACATGATTCCCTTGCGATGCCCTTTGTATGCTGCAGGTGTACTATTAGCAGCACAGGACAGGCGCCCTTGACAGGTGGCAACCTCAAAAACTGTGCACAATGTGAATGAATGCAGGTGTTTGGACTATACCTCAATTAGGAATTTCGTTAACAGCAGATTTGCGGCCATAATAAGCCGGACCTAGCAAGGCAGTGATTCAGGAGAAGGCCACACAATCGTTGTGATTATCGGTTCGAGTTGCACAACAAACCTAACTGTGTAGGACATTGTGGCAAGAGAACATCGAATGCAAAGCAGTGTTGGGGTCACTTCGCGGCTTTCCTTCAGAAACTCTTTGGGAGTCCATCGTAACAGTCGCAAAGTGTGCAGCCAGACAGTCAAACGTTAACGTGTCGCGAACATTTGAATGGAAATTTTGTTTATGTGACCGTGTACACTCATTTTCGCTGAAGGTGATCGTGGCAACGCAACTCAGATCATTGTTTGGTCATGTTTGCTTGAAAGGAACGACACCAGTGACCACAGTCAAGATGAGATAATCTAATTTCAACGTAGTTTGAAGCATTGTGTTCTGCCGACATAGTTATGTTGTGAGTCATGTTTGCATTCCATTTGAATATCAGCAATGTTGCTGGCATTAATTAGGAATGAAAGCACCACGCTGGTATAGTGTGGGATGCACACGGAAATGATGTGTGCGAAATGTCCACGCTTGGCCACTGATTTGGAACCAAACACTGCTCAAATTTGTTGCTAAAAAGGCAAAGGGCCAGTCGAGGTGGAATGAATAGGAATAATGAACACTCGAGAAAGCAGAGCTGGCGCTGTGCAAACTATCGCATCGTACCTACGGTCGCCACGCGAACAGTAGGAAACAACCCGGATGGCCTTCCGCAAGCGCCGGTTTGCAATTTTCATCTCTCATTTGGCGTCATGCGTCCAGATTTCGATTGACGGGCCGGCCAGAGGACATGCGCATGGCAACGGGAGCGACGATCCACACCGCAGATGGGCTCATGATGACGGTGGAACGTAGGACGCCAGGAGGAGCTGTCGAGGCAAAGGAAGAGGGCGAAGTTGTCGTGTTGTCCCCGGCATAAAGCGTGAACACTCGTCTGTGCCTCTGGCTTGAAATTTTGGAAGCGGATCATGTGTGCGGCGTGCCGGTGTTGGGCGTGCCGGAGTAGGTTCAATCCTTGAATTACATTTGTCATGCATGGCAAGACACAGCCCTTGCACCTTAAGAGGCGATGTTGGGCTTAATTCTAAACAACTCTTTTGTTTTGACTCAGTGTTTGTCCACATTTGGAGTGCTGGAGTAGGGTAGTGTTGATGCGACGGCTTCGTTAGTGCGGACAGGAAAGGGTATGCAGCGCGTGGTTTGGGTTGGGGGACGTGCTTTGGAATTGTGGTGCACCATGAGAAGATTTTGTGCGAGAGCAGTGTACAAATAGATTTGCATCTGGCAAGAATGCATTGATGTGGTCCAGTTGGCATGAATGCATGGGCGGGTTCTCTTCCTGGCCGCAGCAGGATTGATTCTCACGTCATTCCGTTCGCAAGAAAACGTTGAAATTGCATTTACGGCATCTTGTCTTGGCAGATGCACTTGCTGGTTTGGTCACCGTGGGACTGGTCCTCCAGGGCTGGTGAGTATGCTCTGAAGTTGATCTGTAATGCATCGTTGAATTCAATTCAAAGTGACGTGTGGTGCATGGGCAGTTGACGCCTATGGCATAAGGTATTGACAAGCTCAAACACCTCCCCCACCACACCCACCTACTTCATGATAACCTTGTAGAGCAGGGCTTAGATTACTGCCTTTTGTTGATCAAAGCTTCTGTGCACTGTCCTGACTAAGGTTGGAAGTTTGGAACCTTCGTTAGCGATACATCCAGGGCGACGCAAAGATCCACAAGCACAGTAGAACAAAACGAAACCAAATATCTGCTTGCATTGGACAGCATGACAATGCAGGAGTTTGCACCTGCCATGGCACACCTCTCTCTTCGTCCTGCCGGTCGTCTAACGCGCTCCACAGGCACAGGGGACAAGGACCCGAAGATGTTGCTGCAATCCCGATTCCGCCATGTACATAACACAGCGTCAGACAGACCTGCGAGTTCCCTTGCACATCAGATGGACTTGTTTAACTATTGGTCCGACTTCTGGCGGTCGGCCTGTCTGACTTCTATTTTGAACTGCTGTCCAATGTGAGTATTAACGATGTTAAGGTGTCACTGCAAGGTAAAATCCTTACTAAATCCAAGCACTGTAGGGCAAGAATGAGATAACAGCGACGACGCCATAGTACCGTGTCAGTTCTGTCAATTTTTGGCCCTGCCAGGGCCAGGTTCGAGATTCAGTTACTGGCACTGCGCCACCTCTAATTTGGCTTAGGGAAGATAATATTTTGAATTTTGTATGCTTAGCGTCGATGCGATGTTAAGATCAGCCCCCAACCCCCCCCCCCCCTCCTCCAAGTGTCAGCCCTTATTTCAATGCCAGGATGACTCATCAACATTATCTAACAATGCCGCAAATTTTCAAAACAATTTAAAGGAAAAAGACAACAAACTTGTAGAAATTTACGTGATTTGATGAACAAAATGCGAAAGCCATGATAGCGATGGGAGCAGCCCCAAACCCTGAAGTTGATCCAATCTAAGAACTTCCTCGATGATTGAAAAGCTTGAGGGAATTTTTGGCAACAATTCATGAGCTATTTGCCGCTGATCAGCGGCGCTTTTGTGCATCTTCCCACTCCATTTTGATTTTAGTGCAGTTACATAATCTCTTGGTATCAATGGCTGCACCCACCCACCCATCCCAATCCACCTCCTCACATCAATTTGACGCTAGACGTACCAAAACCAAAAGAGTGTCCTCCCTTACTGGGTGTGTTCAATGATAAGTATGTTTGCCACACCAACTGCCGCCTGTGAGGGAAGCCACATGGTGTTTGTGACTTGCGTGACCAGCGGCCGCTTGTCGATACCACGGTGACCCAGTGTTCATGCGATGTGTATCATTGCGGAACATCAAGGGTTCACATAATCGGTTTGGCGCCCACGGCAATGGCGAGCTTTGGGAGGTCCTGAGCCTCAACACCTGGATAGTCCCTTCCATTTGTCCTCACAGCATCGCGCTTGCAACCTTTATCAGCCCTGAGAGAGTGAGGGTTGGTTGTTACAACCGCATACAGTATGCGGGATGGGCGCGGGAGTGAATTATGGGATTTACGGGCTGATTTAGGGCTGGATAACCTCTACATAAAGCACCAAGCATTCCAACAGCGACCCCAAACACGTTGGCGTGAGAACCTCGGGTCGATGCTAACTGGTGATTGACACCGATTTGCAGTGCAGCCTTGAATGTCTCTGTCACGTGGCTCACATTGCCCCATCGCCTAAAAGGAGACAGCCAATGGAGCATCGAATCCTACCTTGGACAGAGAAATTTTCTGTCTAGAACGACCAGTTTTTGCGCATGCTGCATGGCAACTATGGGCCTCAAATACGTTGAGGCCTGGTCCAACGCCAGCTCGGACAGCCAGGCAGTTCCTTTGGCTATTGAGATACTGCGCCGCTGCCGTGGTGACGCACACCATGACAAATCACTGCGCACATTGGGCAAGTGCTGCATGCAGACTTTAGTCAGTTGGGGGCGGACTATGGCGCGCACCAGCCGTGCCATTGCAGCATGATGGCACTGCTGTTTCATTTCAACGTAGTCCAGAAGGTAATCGACTTTTTAAACGAAAGGGATCCTTCTGCCGTTGAGAGCTTGCAGCCACAAGACACTCTGGTGGGGTGTGGACCTGGGAGGGGCTGCCCCCTCCATTTACCTTGATAACCCCGCGGTGTATGGGGTAGGGGGCCACGCGTCCCCGCTGACAGGCCAGGCGTCCCCACCTTCGGTCATGGACCATGACTCATGGTTGCCCATTAAATTCAACGTCCCTATTTAACAAATAGCCACAATGTCCACCGGCAGAATTAGCTATAGGCGGCGTTCCAGAGCTTCCGTACCAGAGTGTGTGATGAACGATGGCAAATTTTGGCCCGCAGGTGGCAGGTCTTTGACGAGTCGGTGCGCGAGGATCGGATGTCGATGATCGGAGAGGGCTGGAAGACGTTCAAGTTGTGTGCAAGTCTGTGCTTTGATCGATGGCTGGTGGAGTAGGCACATCATGGAGCATTTCACGACGACCCCGTTTAAGCAATGTGAACTGTCTCTTCTATGCAGCAGTGCATATGACTGGAAAAGCATCAATTGCCTACATATGTAGACCATGAGCAGCATGCATGCTGCTAATAAATTCAACCATAAAGGGATTACGTTGAGTCCGCTGCCAAAACAAAGTTCTGGGACCTACGGGCAATCAGGCTGCAAAGCGAAGCAAAAACAACTCTTTCGATGCACTACCACTGACAATCACTCAGAGAAAGTTACGTGGGAAAAACGCTGCATATCCTGGATATACATTTCTGCCTTACCGGTCTCCTTCAACCCCCCCCGTGTTCCCCACACGACAATACATTACAACACTCACAGTTTGGTGTCCATCACCTCACTAAAACAAGACCCGATTGGCGACCCACTTGAAATGTGCCCTCGCTTCGCATAGTACTTAATGCCACTCTGATGGTGACTCAACTCAGAGTCAGTCCCTCTTCTCTCGTACTCAACTCCCTCTCCATCCCACAGCTAACCGAACTCACTCTATTAGGGCGGGCCGGGCGGGTGCGAAACAAGATAAAGGGGGGCGCCACAGGTCGCGCCTAAAATAGCCGCTCCCACTTGCCGCCAAACTCCCCGCCAAACCCAAGGGCCAGCTTGACCGGTCCCCTTGGCTGCGCCCAAGGTACAAGGATCAACCCCACCGCCCTTGGATGCGTCGGGCAGTACTGACCCCGAGTACAGGGGTGACAGAAACCGGCTGATGGATGGCCCAAACTGTCCCAAAGGGCGGAACGGCCCGACCTGGCCGTCGCGCGCCCACCCAATCGTCGTCCTAGGCAGAAACTCATTAACATGATAGTTAATTCTATTTCTGCCTTACCGGTCTCCTTCAACCCCCCCCCCGTGTTCCCCACACGACAATACATTACAACACTCACAGTTGGGTGTCCATCACCTCACTAAAACAAGACCCGATTGGCGACCCACTTGAAATGTGCCCATTCACACTGGGGCACGGTGCAGCTCCTCCGGAGCGAAGGCGTGGTCATGCCTTGGTCACTCTTGGGCCGATGACGCCCCGCCGGGGCAGAAAAGATGCCCGTATTGGGCGTGCAGGTCACGGGCCGTAATCGTCATCCAGCCAAACAGCCGGTAGTCCCACTCGGACGGGAGGCGGTACACATCGATGTACTTCCAAATGACGTTGCTCCTCCACTCGCCCCACGCGCGGATGCGCCCCTCCGGCACCTCCAGCGAGTAGCAGGCGCTGGCGCCACCCGCACGAAGGCCGTGATGATCGAAGTGCTCGGGCGGCGGGGAGGGTAGGGCGCGGAGGAGGACCGGGAACCAGCTGGAGACGGTCGGCGCCGACGGATTGGCCTCCCCCGGCAAGGTGTAGAAATGGCGCGGGGAAGCACTGGCGTCCGCCCACGCCTTGTCGCGGGCCGCAGACCAGCGAAGAAAAAGATCCACCACCGCGGGTGCTCCGCTGGAAGGCCAGGAGCGGCAGCGCACCCGCGGGTCCGTGGAGGCGCAAAGCTTGGTTCGCCGCTCGCGAAAGACCAGCAGGCCATTCTCGAGGCGAAGGTCCTCGAGTAAGATCAGGTGGCCGCTTTGCGCCCGATTGAAAAAGATGAAATCCAGCGTTGCCGAACAGGCCGCCCGTAGGAGGCGAAGGTCCGCCGTAGACATGCCGAGCGCCAGGATGGCGAGCATCACCGAGGTAGACACCAGACGATGCGAATGCGCCGGCTCCGGGGCATCGCGCCTCCACGCCCGGGTGAGCCGGCGGGTGACGGCATCGAAGGCTGAAAAGTTAAGGTGGCCCATGGATTGGTGCACCATGGAGATGGCCGCCAGATACTGGGGTAGACTCCGCACTCCCACGCGTCCTTCCTCCCGCAAAAACCGAATGTAGCGGTAGACGGACGACGGCCTGGCTGGTAACGCCACGAGGTCGTGGTTCGCGCAGAAAGCGGCGAACTTGTCGAATTTGGAATGCATGGCGCGCCGCGTAGACTCCGTGTAAGAGGCCAGGAATTGGCCGCGCATCCAGGAGCGATCCGACGCCGAAAGACCGTCCACATCGCAACCGAAGAGGGGGTGGTCGGGCGGCATGGCCTCCTCCGGGAGGGGGTCCACCACCGGCGACCCTGGGGCGGATCGCGGCGTCACCTCACTGGAGGCGGTGTCCGACTCCGCGGCTGCACGTGGAACGCCCTCAGATTCCACCTCGGGGGAGGCAGATCGGCCGGAAGAGCGGGATCCCCCGGAAGGAACATATTCGGCCGACGGGGAATGGCCATCTCCCGCGAGGCTATCCGGCGGAGCTGCGGGAACCAAATGGCGGAGGGCCAATCGGGGGCCAACACCACCGCTTCCACCTCCACGTGCTGCGTCAAGAAGGCCGTGAGGCGCGGGAGAAGAGACCAAGGCGGGTTGGCCCAATTGGTCTCGCCCGTCCAAATCTGCCGGAAGGCATCCACTCCGTCCGACTCCGGCTCGTGATGAAGCGAGTTGAAGCGGGGACAAAGGGAATTCCGTTGGGAAGCAAAACGGTCGATTGTCCGCCGCCCGAACGCCCTTGTAATCGCCTTGAAAATGGAAGGATTGAGGCGATAGTCCTCCCCACCCCGGAGCCGCGACAATTGGTCGGGAATGGTGTTGTCCTTGGACGGAATGTATTCCGGATCGAGGAGCAGCGAGCGGGCCGAACAGATCCGCTGCAGTTGGCGTAGAGGGCCCCGCAGCTGGTCGGAATTGGTCGTCATGCTGCGGATGCAAAAGAGAACCACCTGCGAATCCACGAGCAGGCGGACCCGCGCCGAGATCGAGGGGGAAGCGGGCGGAAAAAAGGCCCGAATGGCCAGCGCCACCGCCTGCATTTCATGCACATTGATGTGCGTCAACGATCGATCAAAGAAGCCTCTGGCCAGCCGCGGCTGATCGGCATGCGGTGCGGTGAACGTCGCGCCCCAGCCCGTCAAGGAAGCGTCCGTAGCCAAGGTGCCCGCAAACGGCACGGTATCGGGATTGAGGGGGCGGCCATCACAGCGGTGCAGATTGCTCCACGCCTCCAGATCGAGGCACGCTTGCGGGGTGAGCGGTAGACGATCCCGCCAAGAGCGCTTGGTCCGGAGCACCGCATAAAGGCTTTGAAGGAAGAACCGAGCAAGGGGGAAGGCCAAATAAACGGAAATGGCCAACCCACAAAAACGGGCCAGGTCGCGAGCCACCACCCAACGCCGGGCCCTAAGAAACCGGGCTTTGTCGGCAATGGTTGCCACCTTATCCCGTGGAACGAAAAAACGACACGAGGTGGTGTCCACCACCACCCCCAGGTGCCGCTTGACCTGGACGGGTTCCCATTGGCACTTGCTGTCTTTGAAGCGAATACCCAAGGCCCCAAAAATCTCCTTAACTAATTGGGACCATTCCCGTAATTTTCGGGGGTCACTCATGGCAGCCAAAAAATCGTCCAGGTAAGCCAGGATAATGGCGGGGTCATCAACCGTATAACGCACATAATAACGGAAGATTGAATCATTCCCCGCAAGACTGCCAAAACGGAACTTGCGCGCCGCTTTGGCACTTGAACCCGGAGATCGAAGGAAACGGGTAACTACCAACATAAAATGAGTGAAAAAGTAAGGCGATAAAGAGAGCCCAAAGGGGAGGGCTCGGCAAGCAAAGACCTCACCGCCCATTCGAAATTGCAAAAAACACTCATCAGCCAAGCGCATCCTCAAATGATGGTAGGCATCCTTAATATCAAATCCGACTAAAAAATCGTCCCGTCGCAACAGCTGCCCAAAATCCCGCAGCTTCTCATACCGCAAACCCATCTTGCGAAGGTGCCGATTGACTCGGCGAAGATCGACACACAAGCGGTACTTCATCACCCCGTTTTCGTGCGCTTTCTCCACCAGAAACGCCCGCGAAATGCGCGAGTCGGGACCCGGGTCTAGCTTGACAATTGCTCCCGACGCCAAATATTCCTCGCGGAGGGCCGTCCAGCCCGCTTGCTCCTCCGCCGAACGGATCGGGTATTCCCCCTGGTCGAAAGGCGGGGGAGGGCCCTGCGGTCCCCACTGCAGGGGGACGCCCGAATGGATCCATCGCAGCACGTGCGATGGCGCTCCAATCCTCCGCCATGCCGAGAGGCGCCCGCGGGTGCAGTTGTACGGGAAGTCAATCAGGCGTCCGGAGGAGGACGCGCCGCTTGAGGAGGATTGCGGCGCTTGCCCCTCTTGGCCGACTGGCCGCTCGAATGGGGAGGAGGATCGCCGCTCCCCGCCTTGGATGCCCGGTTGGCCGCGGCCGCCTTGGTCGCGAGCTTGACCTCCTGGGTGAGGAGCTCCTTGCGAATGGCGCCCAGCGTCCCGTCGATGGTGTCGGTGGTGAAGCCGCCTTCGGGCTCGCTGAGCCGGATCTGGGCCTGCAGCGCCCGCCAGGTTCCCTCGAGCCCGGTGCCGCGATGCTTCGCGTGCACTTGATGGAGGCGCAGCTGGTCAACCTGCCGCTCGGTAATGGCCACCGAGGCGTAGACGTACGGCAAGAGGAGTTCGCGGATCGAAGGCGGTAGACTTGGATGGGCGACCAGGTCCACGAAGGCCGCCGTGTAGTCGAACTGCCACGCTACCCACGGCGCCCAGCTCGCGTACTCCTGGAAGTAACCGGAGTTGGGTCCCAAGGCCGCGGCGACGGTCTGGCCTTGGCCGGTCTCCCGGACGTCGAACCAGGCCGGGAAAGCCGTAAAGTCCGGCCTGGCGACTCGGTTGTTGACTGAGCGGGGGAGTAAGCGGGGGTCGGAAACCCACGACCTCGACAGATCTGCCGTGGAGTAGCCAAGCTGGAAGCGAGCCGGCCAGGCTCCGGCAGCTCCACCGGGCAGGTCAGTTCATACAGAAGGACTCAAGGTGTCGAACCACTCGCTGGTGGTTCGGTTGTGCCAGCGTTAAGCGCCAAGCGAACAAGATAAAGCGCCATTGTGCCGCTTCTGGCACAGTCAGCCCCACTTGCCAAACTCCCCGCCAAACCCAAGGGCCAGCTTTGACCGTCCCCTTTGGTCGTTTCAAGGTACAAGGATGACCCCACCGCTTCCTGATGCGCCGGGCGCGATCGGACTCGAAAGTAATGTGGGTGACAGAAACCGGCTGATGGATGGCCCAAACTGTCCCAAAGGGCGGAACGGCCCGACCTGGCCGTCGCGCGCCCACCCAATCGTCGTCCTAGGCAGAAACTCATTAACAGGATAGTTAATTCTATATACAGGATATGACCATATCCTCGCCATATCTCTGGATGGGGCCGCAAATATCCTGCATGTAGAAGTTCCATATCCAGGATATGTCCATATCCGGTATATGAATAACCGAGATATGGCGCCCATACCATGTTCGATGTCCAGGATATGCTGACCAATCATACTCTATTTCATTTTCTGGATATTGGACTTTCACTGACATAGGAATTGGCGGATTCTTGATTTGTTTCTGCAGCTCATCACAATTTTATTAATATACATGGACGTTGTTTCTTTCGGGCAAGCTAAGGAGGTGGCAGCCAGCTCCTTGCCTTGGTATGTGATACTTCCTGGCTGACTGCATCGTCAATTCAAGATCATCTGCGGCTTCGCATCTCCCTTCTTTTGCTGGGCCCGCGGTTCCTTCGAACGGCATCAACTTCAATAGTGTTCAATCTTCGGCAATAGTGCCGCTTTAGCGTCGCAACAGCGGGCCTGGGCCTGCGACAGGGGCAAAAGGATAACTGCCACTTGACCAGGGTCAAACACTGCCATCCCGAACAACATCGCTGCCCCTCCGCCTGCCCCATGGCGCTGGGCCGACTGTGCCGAAGCCTCGGCGGCCTTTGCAGCGCCTACGGCGCGCCCGCGGCAGCCGACCTGTGCAGGGCCCCCGCAAGCGCCTGGCGGTGCCTGCCCTCCAGTCCCTTAAGGTCTGTCCCCATTCAATCCCTTTCTTCCCTCCCCCCTTGCCGATCCCTCCCAAACATCGACTCACAGCGCGGCGCCCCTTCCCGCAGCGTGCTGGCCGATCCCGCGCCCCACGCCGAAGGCGAAGCCACCTCGAGGGCAACCTCCGAACCTTCCTCTAGCGCCGCCGTCTCTGACCAAGGCGACATCGAGCAACTGCCCGATCAAGACGCCGTCCCGAACGCCCAGCCAGCGTCGACTTTCACTCCATCCGACCACGCGGCGCGATCTGTGGACGGCGCGGGATCCTCGAGTGGGCCGCCCACTTCGGGAGGTGATCCTGTGGGCGGGAGCGCCGCGGAGAAGCAGGCATTCGCATTCCCGAACGATGCCAGCGACCGGGATGCCGCCTTCGTGCTGGTGAAGAAGGACGCCGTCGTGGGCAAGATCTCGGCGGCCATACTCAATAGGCTGCGCGCGGGGAAGCGCGTGGTGATGTACTCCACGGGGGACGCGTCCGTGAGCAACGCCGTCAAGTCGATGGCGCTGGCGAGGCTGTGGCTAGGCAAGGCGCCCGTCGGCGACGACAGCGCGCAGGCGGCTGCGGTCGACTTCGGGTGCAGGGTCGTGCACCAGCCGGGGGCGGCCGACGACCGCATATCGAAGTTCATGTTCGCGCTGCAGAAGGTGCGCTCTGGCCGAAGGGGTCGGCAAGCGGAGGCGCAGGGGTGGCGGCCTTGCGGAAACCGCTCCGGCTTGTTGGCATTAGGCTGCGTTCGAATGTTGGTGGTGTTGTGCTGAAGCCACGATGCCGCCGTGATCAAAAGCCGCGTCCTCCTCCCACAGCTTGTGACTGTGGAGTTGTCGTCCCTGCATCACCACGTGTGTTGCAACTCCCAGGGGTGGCAATGCCCAATGACGCCAACCCGGCCTCGTTGCTGCTTTGCCCAGAGGCACACTGTTCCATGCATCAAGCCAATGCTGTGGTGTTAAGACGGGGGGCATTTGTAGTAATGCATGTGTGCCGGGCAGCGTAAATTGAACTACCGCAATCCAATGCAATGAAAGGAACTAATGTGCTCTTGGCATGGAAGCACATGGCATCAGTTCTGAGCCTGTTGTGGCCTAAAATTTCCACTTTCATACCTGGTAGCCCAATAGGACACAACAACAATGTCCAAGGACAGGCTTCTGAGCGACCTTGTGGTGCCTTGTTGCCAATTTTCAACATGTGCAGGCACCTAATAGACAATCGCCTGCACTCCCTCCCATTTTTATTCATCAATACAGGCTCAACTTGATTCATTCATTTTAAAATCACAACTCCCCATTGTTCCAAATGAGATGCAGGTGGGAATGGCCACATTGGGCGGTGCTGGAGAAAGGAGTGCTTTTCCTTGGGCACATGAAATACCACCAGCAAGTCCTGCACCACAGAAGTGCGGAAGATTGTTGCAGATCGTGCATCATTTGCTCCTGGTCCCATAAGCGACCTGTGGAAGAGATGCAAAGATGGATAAATAGCGATGCATAGATAAACAACAAGAAGTTAGATAATGTGGAAGAGATGCAGAGATGGGAGTGCACGGCCCAACAAGAGACATGCAATACCAATTCCAGAGAGATAGTAGTGAATGAGAATCTGTGATGCTCGTGCTCCATTGTGGTCGAATGAACTCAGTTCTGTCCTTGCGAATCTGTTCTTTTTCAGGTAGAATACAGAGTGGACAGCGCTGACATTCCTCCCGAGCAAATCTTCAGGCCAGAAAAGAACACTGATGGCAGGTCATATGGCTCCCTAATCGCATCGAACCTGGAGCTGGGCAGGTCGGTTGCCATCAATGCGATGGGACCCAGGCCAGTAGCTGCCATGGTGCTTGCGCACACCTGGGCCAGAAAGATGCTGAGGTCCGCTGGACATGACTGCCTGTGCTTCCCCGAGTTTCATACAGTGAAAGTGCCAGAGTGGGGCGACAGAACTGTTGTCCAGATGATGTTCAAGAAGGTGCCTTTTGATGTAGAGCAAGATTTCAAGCCGGAGTGGAGGCCCAGATGGGCTGACCCGTCAGCAGGCTCACACTCAGAGTTGTCTACAGAGGCGGATAGGTAGTGATTGCGGCGGTGGATAGGTAGCGATTGCCGCAGCGGGCTTTGTACAAGGGCGTCTTTACCAGGTTGCCATCGCCCCTCTGCTGCCATATGCGCATTGGTGATGGTGACCTTGTGACGCAGGGATGTTTCTCAACAAGCACGTCAGGCCTGTTTATGCAGCTTGTCGTGGGGACTGGCTCCGACGCGAGCAGTCCTGCAATATTGTGGTGCATGTTTGTGAGTGCCACCACCATTTCCAAGATTATAGAACGTGAACTCCAAAGTGCGGGCTGACTCGTTGTCAGCTGGTGGGCGCAACTGTTGCAGATTTATTTTGCAAATCGTCCAGCTTGGAGATGCGGACGGGCAGGAGTGGCTAACAACGGTGGATGTGCGCGCCAATGCTGTGGAACTTGTGTGCCAAACCATGCTGCCCATGTTATCCAATATTTGCAGCACAACATATCCAAATGTTAATGTTGTTGGCACAGCTCTCCTGAACAGCTTTGGCACAGGTTGGCACAGACTTGTGAACAGACTTGGTGAGCCACTGCAGCATTGGCGGGCATGTCATTGCCGTGATCATGTCCTGAGCGTTGCATGGCCAATGAAGGCGGATGGATTGAGCTATTCCGACCCAACCTTTGGGTCTGCCACGGTGCAATGTTGCGCAGCCACAGCAAAATGGGTTGTGCTGAAATGTGCGCAGTAACCCATTGGTCGGCTGCTCCACTGGTAGCAGAGACGCTCTTGACATTTCTTCCAGCAGGTTTCACATGCGGATGAATCCACGCACAAGTGGGCCATCGCCTCTCCAGGAACAAGGACTTTGTTTCTTCATGTGTTACTGACAAATGTAACAGAATTCACACGAGCCGTTCAATGCAGGGCGTGCATTCGTTCAGCAGCGAAGCAAACTGACGCTCACGTGTCACCAACTGCACTATGTATCGATGCCTGACTGTGTTGCATATCCAGTTTACAGAACTGTTGTTGTACAAGTGCAAAATCTATACGTTTTGAACACAACGGCCGGCAAGGCCGTGCAGGGGCCACACAGCGCCTGACGCGGGGGCGCTTGGGCAACCTACCCTGCTCCCAAAAGTATATTCAGGGCATTCGTTAAAAAATAAAACTCTTCCCCTCCTCTGCAGCCACCATACTGGTCACAAAAACCGCAAGCCTGGTATCTGCCATTCGTCACAACGTCAATCCCATCTTCTTGGCCGCACTACTCGACTTTCTCCAAAATTCCCAGCAGATGTGTGACCCTGCCAGAACTTCCAGTGAGCGGCGACACCTGGATCTGGTTGAAAAACAGCTCGCCATTTTTCTGGTAGTTGTGCAGCTTCAAATTCACCCGCTGCTGCTCCCTTACGCATTTGTTGATCTTCAGGACCTTGTCCTTCTCTGTGAGGGGACCCTGTTGCACACATTTTAACATTGAAGACAGTCGCCATATCATCAAGACTAGCTGAACTGGTTCGTGCATTAGAGGGAGATCCACAATCCTAGGATCAACCACACAGGGCGGTAATGTCATGCGGGCATGGACGACGTGGCTTCTGCTATTGAGCATTTGTGGCTATGCAGAAAAGTAGGAATGTGGAAACCTGGCAATCCACCACATAGGACTACCCATTGCCAAGCAAAAGTGCAGCCAAGGCTTTGGACAACGACATCTGTGCATCATCAATGGATCGGCTCTCTACAGGTGTGCTTGTCCACCCAATCGGCAAACGTCCCATTCAGTCCACACCAACGACCCCCAACGTCGGTTTCGACGTCTGTCCCGCGAGGCCACCAGTGAGCACTCCACCCGCCCCAAGGCCGACATCAATGCCCACCCTGCGCGCTGAAGTCCTCCAAACATTGCATTCGCACTCTTCACTTCCGCCATGGGCTATTCGTCACACAGTTTCAGCAATGGCGCAGCAATTTCCAATTGCCGTTTGCCCATTGCCCATCGTGACAATTTGCCAGCGTGCCCCTCATCGACTTTCCCCCCCACCCCAAGAATAACAACAACAATGTTCCCAGCCAGGCCATTTAGCGTGGCCCCCTATCGTGGCGACTCAAGCCGGTTACGTCGCAGCCGCGGTACGCTTTGAGTTCTAGACACTTGTCCGTCCCCACCCCGAGGAAAAGAAAACAAAAAACGCAAAAAAGCCCCCAGCGGCCTCACCTGCAGGAACTTCAGCCCCATCGTGCCCTTCACCTCCTCCAGCTTGTACCCGCACAGCTCCTCCCACGCCCGGTTGGCGTACACCAGCTCCCCCCTCAGGTCCGTCACCACCCGCGCCTGGTCGCTGGGCGCCAGCGCGCCGCTCAGCGTGTGCGGCGTCCCGGGCACCAGGGCCGCCTCCTCCTGCACCGCCAGCCGCCGCGCGACGGCCGCCGTGCTGCGCCGCACGCTGCAGGCGTCGCTCTCGCAGCCCCAGGGCGGCGTGGGCATGCGCGCAAAGGGGTCGCCGGCGGCGTCCAGGGCTTCACGGCGCAAGGCCGCGGAGGACAGCGCCCGGGACACCGCCCGGACGGTCTTGGCGCGGTGAGACATCGCCGGCTCGATCGGGTGGCCGCGGTTCGCACCTGCACAGTTGGCACCAGTGGGGTTGGACCCAACCGGCTTTACACCGGTATTGACGCACAGCGGTCCAAGGAGCAGATTGGCGGGATGCCTTTCCGGGAGGGGCTGGCGGGGAGCGGGGCCTGTGGGGAGTCCAAAAGGCAGAACTTCGGTCTGCGGTGCGAGGGGATTGGCGGGATCCCGTTCTGGAGTTTGGGAATCCATTCATGGGGTTCGGGGCACCGCGCCCGCGAGACGCGGGATCCCGGGCAGTCGGCGAAGCGCGTCGACTGGGCGCGGATCATCGCTCCGGGCGGGGGGAAGGGGAACGGCGCCCGCAAAGGCGTTGGGCGCGAAAAGTCGGCGAGGGGGACAAAAAGCGCCGTGACGGAAAAAGGGCAAAGGGCATGTGCCGAGGTAGGCCGCGTGGGGAATGGCGGTGACTGGGGATGGCGACGCCCGGAACGCCCATTGGCCGTCTTCGCTTTCGCCGACACGGGAGATTCAAATCCGCGATTGTCGCTCTCGCGGCAGCCGAGCGCTAGCCTGGCCGGGCCCCTCCGGCACCCCCTCGCTGGCGCCCCCCCCCCGCTGCCCGGGGTCGATAACCTAGCCCGCGGGCCCGCGGGGATCCGCCTTGGGGATGCACAACATTGGAAGGGGCCCGACGCTGCGGGATTGAGCAAAGGGAAGCGCGCTGCACTCGGTGCCACTGCCGCACCTGCTCCGTCCGCGGCGAAGAGTTGGGGGCGCGCCTCCAAAGCAAAAGGGCAAACGGAAAGTGCCCGTCCGCGCAGAAATGTTGCCTGCCCGCGCTTTCGGCCGTCCTTTTTGGCGCTTGCTCATTGGCTGGGGTTTGCAGCCGTGTGGGGTGAGCGTGGGTCCACGCACAGGGGTACGACACGGACCGCACGAAAGTCAAAATCACGGAGAGCTCACACACGCAGGCGAAACTGTCCGTCACCGGCGGCCATTTCTGTGGATTACTAATTCGTCCGCCTCGGCAAGGCCAACTGTGGGTCAGTGGGCCAGAGGTTATTTTGGTTTAGGGTTTAGGGTGCCGAAACAACAAGGGATCTTCACGGAAGACAGAGCGACTAACTTCATGCATAATCGGATCTCTGTGCAAGTCATTGGTTCGAGAGTCACTGTGTCCATTAATCCAGGTTTCCTTGAGAAACCAACCACCTGTTGGCACACGCAATATGCGTAGAACAGTTGCCACTGGTGTTGATACCTACCCCAGGTTCGGGGGGGGGCTATGTCGGAGGTAGGCGTGGCCATGAGCTCGGAGACACAGCTGAGGGAACACAGTTACGGAGATGCCACTGACAGGCACGTCCCTTCACACTCAAACCACCATCTGTCGGTTCATGGACCTGTCACTGTCGTATCAGTGTGAATTTCAATAGTGTAATCCACACTAACGTCATTGCAGTAGGTCAAACAAGACCGATGTCCAGTCTGCAATTAACCATTGCCGACTGCATATAACAGCGACATGTTGGGGTCCCTCAGTGCACGAAAATGGGACAGAGAGGGCAGATGGTTTGTTGCAGCACTTAGGAAAGACGGCAAATGCAAAGATGTGCAACTTCAGATCTGCCAGTATGCGTAACAAAACATAAGCCTCACTGGCAGCACAAGTGTATGAGTACCGCTGGAGTTAACTAAATTAGGGAACTGAAGCGCACATGCTTAACAAATACTGACAATGGGGTGGGTTGGTGGTGGGTGGGGTGGGGTGGGGTGAGACAGCAACCAGAGGGAGCCTGTACACCATGAAAAGCTCAAGTCCCCATTCATGCCACTGGACCGCCGAGTATATATTAATGCCAACTGACGTTCCTGCAAACGTTTGGCTACACAGTACCATTGAAATGAATGCACACAGTCTTTTGTTGTCATCAGTTCCATTACTTGCGAGCACCCTCCAATTGGAATCATGGAAGAGGGCGAAATGCCAACTAGGTAATATCTGCACACTGAAAAACTGCAATATCAAGCAGTCTTTGCAATATTCTCAGTCCAAATTTTCTCCCTTGCACTCTGCATGTTACACGCTTTGCAGCGCCTGGCACACACCAACCCTTGTATTAAACGTGTCAACTGTGACAAACTACTCCACCTGCACATCCGAGAAAAGGACGGGAGCCCCTGTGCCATCCTACAAGTCGCCAATTCTAGCATCCGGTGGGCATTGGCTCTTGGGCGATTCAGATATAGTGTTCGTGCAGCCCTTGTTGCTGGACACCTCGAAGCTTCGACCATGATATGGGGGCTCCAGCGCAACTTTTCCATGCCTTGAGGCATCGCCTGACCTCAGGGTAGCGGGCCCTCCACCACCTGCTTTGCAATCTTGCAGATGACCTGTGCATCGCCGCCCGGCAAAGCGCCTGTAGCGTATGCCCTGGACACCATCTCCACTGTGATTGCTTGTGATGGACCTGGCAGCCTTCCTTCCAGCGTACATGCTCAGCTAGCTAGCATGCAATGAGGTAAAGCTGCATGCGCAGAAAAAAGACACCTTTTGCACATTCGTATGGGAGGGTGCTGTGCCGATGGTTGCCTCAGGGAGTTTTCGAACATCTGTTGCAGCCCTTGACTTCAGGAGGAGCACCAGGGCGGCCATTTTCATGTCACAAAGCCGTAACAGCGATAACCATGAGGGTCTTTGGCACAAGTGCTCCTGTAGTTTTCTGAGTACTGCAGTCTTTGGCTACGACTTTCGAAGCTTTCTCGTTGGACGTTTCTTCAGGGGTTGGTGCACTTCTGCATCTCCAGAACCTCCTTGCATCGACCTCGCCGTTTTGCGTCCCCGCCCTTGTTTGTGGACTGCGCTTGTCTTGTCGTCAGCTTTGACTTTCCCGCGCCTCCTCAATGCTGCTGGAGCATTCATGCCTGCACCATCAGCATTTGCTTCTTGAATAGCTGCTTTTTGTGACTGGTAGTCTGATGTGACGTCTTCTTTCATGGACCCCCTTCCCTGCTTGCCTTGTGACTTGTTTTCAGCACCAGAAGCTGATTTCAAACCTGGCCATGCCACAAGCTGATGAAGTTCAGTGTCCAGTCGCCAGGGAATTGGCCACCTCGTAGAAAATCTCCATTACCAAGCAGCACTGCACCATTCCCTATCCGTCAATACATACCAGATAGATGTCAGACAAATGTTTGAATTCAAAGAATTTGCCTGTCAACGTAACGAGGTAGCCATCAGTACGTGTTTCAGTGCGACATAGTGGATTCGCCCAAGCTACAGCATCATAGTATTGCACTGCATCAAAGGTGATGTGCCGACTCGGTGTGTTGGATCCCAGATTGGATGCAAGACATATTGCAAGATGGTGTTTCAATAGTCCAAGGTAGGAAAATAGACATGTTTCCCCCTTAATAACTAGCCAGCTTGAGTGGTATAACTCCGAAAATGGGCATTGATCGCCAGTGGCAGCAAACAGTTAGACATGTGCGCATGCATATCTCCATTTCTCCTATGATCCTTGCACACATTTGCTTGTGTGCATGCAGGCAAACCTCCCGGCACATGCGATCTTGGCCTTTCAAGCATTGCCAGAATGCAAATTACTCCACAGCACCTTTGGCTCCAGTTATTTTTGCATCACCATCTGCCGTCTGTGACTTCGACCTGGACCTGCACAAGCAAAACTCAATTTACTTGTTGCCAGAAGCCATGCACCATGACTTGCCAATGCAATCTCCCAAGCTCCTCACTGCCATGGCACAAGATGCAATTGGCCAACAACTGGCACTGGTACTCCCGTACGCACCTGACTTTTGGTGGCAATTTCTGCAGCGCTGGTACAAATGCCGTGGTGCGGCTGTTCACCTTGGTGAATGCCACGTTGTGTCCTTTCACCTTGGCCAGCGTCTGGTTCTTTTTCCCTCTGCCCCAACGAACATGAAAAAGCCAATCCTCTGGGAACTTGCTTGAGTCAGCCCCTGCTTCAACTGCTGTTCGGATAACATAACCTATCGATTTGTGCAAGGCTGCAATCTGCCCCACTGTCAGATCGTTGACTTGGTGTTCAGGATGAATTTGAGCGTTGTAAAGCACATCATCTGCTACCCAGTTGCCAATGCCAGCAGCAAAACTCTGTCGCACAATCACAGCGCGCACTTTGCATTATACTCTGAGTGAATTCACCAGAGGTTTCTCTCAACTAGGGAACTGTTTGAGTAGGAAAAGCACATGTGCATTTGACCTCTGATGCATCACAGACAGATAATCTAGCGTGCTTGGGCAAAGACCTGGCATATGCACACTCCTGGCTGCCACAGACACAGTTGCCAGGATGCACATAACTAATATCTCTTGGAACTTGATCCAACATTAACAGAAACCCAAGGGAAGGCCGTACCTTGTGCAAGCATGAGAGTCCATCCCCCTCTCCTTGCACTAAGGTTCCTATAGAAATTCAAGTCCTCATGTGTAGAACAATATTTGTGCCAAATACTCAACCAAATGGAGCCCTTTGATATGCAAACAGTGCTGCCTGCAAAAGCGTAAACATGAAATGACTGTGCAAGATATACAATGGGTGGAATCATCCACGAAATGGATGCAGCCACCTTTGCCGCAGCCCCAGCAACGCACCTGATCCAAAAGTAGAGTTTTCAACTTTCCAGAGTGTTGCCGCAGCAGCTCAGTGAACTCTGAAATGGAGGGGTGATTCAGCAGGGGGTCGAACCCCAACTCCTTCAGAGGGCTGCTGTTGGGTGGATTGTCAACGAGCTGCATACGGGCAAACCGACGAACATCCACAAAAGCCATCTGGGTCCCATCCACGAAATCTAGGGAAAGCTTCATGAAACGTGGCGGCCACTCTTTGCTTCCTCCACTGTGCCGTCAAGCACACAGATGGCAGTTTCAATGCAGAAGTCCACTTGGCATTTGAAGAGAGTATGCCTGGCAAGAACACTGCTGCAAAAAAGGTCACTTTGCGGTGGCTCTGAAAGGAGTCAACACTGCAGCGAAAGAGTGCCAGGTGGCACTTCTGGGCTGCAAGTTTATGGGTGGATACAGATGTGCAAGTGCCACTCCCTGAGAATATGCCCACCTCCAATGTGTTGGCAAATCAACATCGTTCACAACAATTGCTCCAGTCATCCCTGCAACACAAAGCCGCAGCATTCCCAAGTGCTTTTAATGCTGTATGACAAGGCGAACGAATTACTTTGTAGCACGGATTATCTCCACCACAAAACGTGCTGGGCAAGAGCTGATTGGAGACATGTGCATTCTAGGTAGCCGATGCGGAACGCATAACATAGTGGCAACATCAAATTTCCAAGATTCCAGAGAGGACTGCGAAGAGCTACCCAAAATGCTCAACGCGTAATGCTGAGGCAACAGATGTTCTGCAGTACAGGTTTGGGCCCTTGGATCGAAGTCTGCAATCGGGCAACTGACTGACGACAAAATGCAATGATGCACAGGCTCCTAATGGCAAGACTGGGCATGAGCCACAACACAATTCCAGTTTTTCAGGAGTGACAATAAAACCAAGTCAGAGTCCACAGCGTGAACTGGAATGACAACAGCAGTCAAGGAACTTGCACAATGCACAGGAGCTACTTTGAGATTGTCAAGGACCATGCCATTCTTGTCTCATGCATCCACTCATCAGTGCTGCAGGCCCCCACACTGCAGAAACTGTCAGAGCCAAAAGCATTGTTGTTCTGCCCATTGCTCACCAAAATGGAACAGAGGCTGTGGCCCTTTTACATCCATCTCAAGCCATAGATTCTTTCCGAGTCGCTTGGCTGACATAATCTTACGATGAAGGAAACGCTCCCGCACTGGGGCCCCAGGAGTGGTGAACACAACTGCGGCAGTGACGACATAATTGTTCTGTCAACCTTGGCCAAACAAGCCGAATTCCATAAGTGCCCATTCTACATGAGCACCCCAACACCAGCTGAGGGAAACAAAGCAACGAAAAACTCTTGCTTTTGAGCACCTCCCAATCGCCTTCTGGCCGCAAGGGTACATTGTTCTGTAGGAGTACTTCGATTCTCGGTTGATACATTCACCAATAGACATGACTAAGCTGGGCAGCCATCTGCCGATGTCAGGGGTATCGCCACAACACGGAAACTGTTCACCACGGAATTGCCCAGTATTGTTCCAACAAAGCCTCAGCTCCCCAAAAGGAATCCCTCACCCACGGGAGGCAAGAAGCCGGGTTGCTGTCCGCTGTGTGCATTGCAATGGCTTGCCATCCACAGCCCGATGGGCAACAATGTCCTGGAACTGAGTTTCTTATATGCAGGAGCAACGCTGCGTTGGGCAGCTTTGCGTTCAGATGGACTTTGGAGCGCATGAAGTCTGAGATTGCCAGATTAGAGCTTTACCAGACGCAGCCGCCAACTTCAATTTTCCCCCCGAGACCAGCAGCTGGCTGTCGCTTACCGTTATCATCGCCACCAGCCACTCGCGATATTTTCTTTTTCAGGCAGTGGACCTCAACCAGCCGCCTGTACGCTTCGACTTCCGGGAGCTCGGGCATGTCGTCAAATCGCTGTGCCCAGGCAGAATTGGGCTTTTGCGAATGACCAGTGCCAATGCTTTCCATGCCAACAGATCCAGCGACAGCGGAAACCGGCAATGCGCGTGCCCGACCGCGCTGGCCTCTGCAGAGGAGCCTGTGGCTTCCGTGGCTTGTCTGGCCACTCCTTATGACGACGGATGCTCTGGCTTACTGCAAGGGCAGTGGTCCGCCCGCTGTCCTCGCCCAGGCTGTTGAATTGCCTGTCAATGCCCCACTGCCACACGCCAAGAAACTTCGGCTCTGAGACGGAGGTCGTCATTGCTCTCGGATCGAATTTGGTGCGGTGGACGTCGAGCCAAGTCGGCAGCTCCAGCTTGGGCGCCTTTGTTTCCGCCACATGCCACTGTCGACTGATCGCTGCGGCGCAGCTCACGTTCATGCTGGGCCGACACAGGGGAACCGCGTCCAAAACTTGACTGAGGCGCTTCGACTATTGGAGGGGGCCCGAGTCAAGGTGTGGCTGCGGTCCTTTGCGCACCTCCCCCGGTTTCTCGCTGTTTCGAGGCATCCTCCTCGAATTGGCGATTAGGAGCTAGTGCCCTGGGAAGTCGTCCGCATTGATTCAAGCATGTGTGCTTTCCTCTCAAGCTCCCAACCCGACAACATCTGGGCAGGAGCGTGGCAATCTAGAATTCTGTGCTTTCAAGCTCTCTGCACTGGACGTCTTTCTGCTAAGGCCAGTCACGGAACCGTTTTGGGACTGCAACCATGACACAAGGGCATATCTTTTAGGACCACATTGGCCCTCAACGTTAATAGCGGGACTCTGGCAGGAAACTTGGCCTGTAACTTATTTCACATTGTATCGGCAGCGATCTCACATATTTGTCAAAGTAGTCTCCAGCCAGAGTAGGGTGCTCTTTACCAAATGCTGATTTAGAAGCTGCACATGAAGGTGCAGAATGGAGAGTGGACTGTACCCACTTTCCCAGCAGCCAGCACCAATCCGTTAACTGCCTGAATCTTGACCATCGGGGACGACATTGAAAGAGAGGAAAGAAAGAGTAGATGGTCACAGAGGCAAACTAAAATTTGCATCAAGCATGCAGGTGAGTCAAGACCACTGACAGGCCTGGAAGCTGCTTGCCTCTAAACCGGACCTATTCTTCAGAATTACACCGCCTTCTTACTTATTCCAATCATTGCCGCTCATGAAGAGCCCTTTGGAGAGCAGAATGGTTGCAGTATGGACCAGACAGCAATACGAGGCCAAAAGTTATCGTTTCCTTTCCATCACAGAGCGGTCATTTTTGCATGTGCACACACCTTGTGGCCATGTCCCAGTTTCTGTTGCGTGAAAAGATAGCGACTTATTATGTTGCAAAAAATTGTGCTCAAAGGGGATTTCCACATACAGACCGTCTGCAATGGATGCACAGCCCAAACAGGAACGATTGAGTGTGACGTAGGTACTGGGGCATTCCTGCCTGTATGAAAGCGCTCCTGTTCATTTGGAGGACCAACCTTTCTTCCTCAATGCTGCTGTTCTTGCCAAGACATCCCTGAGCCCAACTGTGCTCCTTGACCTAGTCAAGTCCATTGAATTGGATTTGGGCCGTGACCTATCCAATAATGCGATGAGGTGGGGCCCTCGGCCAGTCGACTTGGACATCATTTTCTATGGCAGCAAACGCGTCCACACAGAGAGACTTGCAATCCCACATGAAAGGTGAAAAGCAAGAGACTTCAGTGGCAGCTGCCAATGCCTCTCTAGCGCTGTTTGCTTCTGTACAATAGTCTGCCTGTGATTGACACTCATTCGCAATGCTCCAAGTGGCAAGCTTGTCCCATGGTGGCACCTGAATTGTCTGTACAGTATTTGCTAAGGAATGTTGTGCACACCACTGTTTTGATATCTTTGCCTGCATTGGTTGCATTTGAGAAAACAGAGGCCTTGTGACAAATTGCAGCAGTCGAATGGCAATTGCTGGCACATAACACCACCCCAACTTTGTTTTCCTTCCAGCAGCTATTTTCATGTTGAAAAAGCCAGTATTGAAGTAGATGAAAACTGGAAATGATGAAGAAAACTGACTTTCGTTTCAATGAAGCCGTCCACTTCCTGACGCAGAATAACCAGTGAAGCTGCTCTTGATCCAGAAGTGTGTGCCACCAACAGATGTGCCCAGAGATACTCTATTGCAGTGATGAAGTCTTGCCCCATGGCAGGGTGTTGTCCAAAGGGCGACTTCGACAAATCTTGATTGAAAAGAAGGGATCCATATTCGCTCATGGCAACATGCACAAAAAGTAACAACCATAATATCTATTGCGCAGAGTGTCTGTTCGTTTCTGGCATTGTTTTGCGCCATTTAAACAAACTATGTAGATGATTATGTTGTGCTTGTCTGGTGGAATACATTTGTGCTGCACCGCAATGGCACATGGAATTACTGTTTCTTTGATGAATTAATTTGTGATTTGTTGGATGAAAATGGGACGATGTTACGACAGGTTTGTGTCACACTATTGTCCACTGTGCGATGGACACATGCATCTTGTGTGTTCTTGCAGTCGGCTGCCCAATTTTAACTGTAAGATCAATCTTCCCCATCCTCAGAACACAGGGGTGGCTGAAAATTACATTCCATGGCACCACTCAACAGCAAAGTAAATTACCATGTTGAAGGCACTGTTCAGCATGGCAGTCACTTTGCCACAGTGTAGACAGACTAGTCAAGTTGGTGTGGTGCAACAGCACCTGCTGACTGTTACAAGTTTGCAACATGAATGTGGCGCAATTCACAAGAAGAGGGGGGGGGGGGGGGACGCAGCAGCTTACTGCATGCACTGTTGAACGTTGCAGACATGTTGCTGTGACATCCCTCCACTTTTAGTTGTGATAAGCACTTTATCTAGATTGGTATGTTATGTAGATTGGTATGTTCCAATTGGTTGAGTGCTGGTGTGGGGGCCAGCCATAGAAGAGGTACTATCCTCCATGACCTATGGTGCTCTTACATTCTGAAATGTGCTTGTGCATCCAAGAAAGGAATTCAGTGATCCACAACTTGTAACATAGATATAAAACAAATCTTGTCATTAAGCTCAAATGCTTGTTTTTCCAATGTTATAGGTGGCATATCAGGGATTTTGTGAAGGCACCACTTGCCAACTTGGCAGGCTTGCAGTGCTGTGAGGGAACGGTGCGTGATGCTGTTAATATGGATGTGGCCTTGTGCAAAATTGTCTTTGGGCTACTGTGGTACAAAGCTGTCGTGGAGACAATGTGAGCCAAAGCACCCTGGGAACCAATGAAGGCGACCATGAACAGAGTGCTCAACATAACTTGATATGTGCAAGGACAGCGCCTTATCGTGTTGATTTTCGTCAGCGAGTAGTTTTGCTGTGGCTGCAACATTGCCCAATCTGAAATAGATATCTGTCCTCCATGGGCCTTGCAAGGACAACTGAGGTTAATTTACTGTATAATGGCTGCTTCTTGCACCTGCCACTATTGCTCGCAAGGCAGCCTGCTTACCACAGGCTGTGGTTGAATGCGACAGGCTAGTTCATCTCTATCATCCACGATAATGCAATCTTGTATCAACATTCCACCGATCGGAATACAAGAAAGGTGGCTTGATCTGCTTGGAGCGGTCTGTTCACCTGCAGATCCCCTCTTACCTCCCCAGATGAAAACTACAGATCCCCACAAGTGAAAGTGGACAAGTTTGCCACAGACAGCATTGCTTTTCTGCACTTGACAACTCTACCAGAAAACGGGCACCTCAACTCAACAATAACACGATCCATTGAGTCAGAGAATCAGCTCAATGATATGTGCAACCTCAGCAAGCTTTGTCCATAGCTGTTGCAGTTCTTGATGCGAATTCTTTCTGAGAAATTCCTCATTGTCTACTGACTTCAATTGTGAAGCTCTTGTGAACCACCAGAAACTTCACACAGTCTAGTTGTCTCGGTTCAGCAGAGACACGTGCCTTGACCAGTGTATCATTTTCACGTTGATTGTGAGGACCCATGCACTCCCAACAGGACCTGGTACTTTCCTATGCTGGTGTCTGTGATGCCCACTGAGTGTATGTTGGCCAAGAAGCAAAGTACTACTGTAGTACATTGTGAAGACACACCGGACTGGGGGCAACTGCCATTTACTGCGCAGCATATTTCTGGCCAGGCCCATTTTGATATCTGTGGACAATAGGCTTGCATGCCCTGGCAGGATGTCCAATCCATGTTGGCAGAGGCTTCAAGGCTCTGGCAGGAAGAGGGTGGTGAAGCGCTGATAGGTTCACGCCAGCTGCGCCGTGTCATGCCCTTTGGCAATGAATTGTTGGAGTTCGGGAAGTGCACCAAGGTTATGGGTATACTGAACGTCACACCAGACAGCTTCAGTGACGGAGGGTTATTCAATACCGTTGACTTAGCCCTTGCACAAGCCAGGTGCATGGTGGAGGAGGGTGCAGATATGATTGATATTGGAGGTCAATCCACAAGGCCCCGGGCGGACAGAGTGCCAGCAGAGCAGGAGGTGGAGCGGGTTGTTCCCATCATCAAGTGAGGTGGTTTGTGTGACAGTGTGGTGAGTTCTGTTTTCTGAGCTATTGTGGACAAATTCAGAAGAGCAAATTCAGAAGGGGGGAAAATAGAAGTTGATTGCATGTTCCATTGCAGTTGCACGGTCAACAAAGTTCCTGCTCACCTGAACAGGGGCACACAATGTCAGTAGTTCAAAACACTTTGTTGGCACATCATTGATGTTCCACTGCTGCAGGTGTGCCTTGAATAGATGATCTGGGGTCCGCAAGTATGCATATCTGGCTCTGAGTTTCCAGCACCAGTATGGATGCACTGTATGCACCAGCTGTTTGCCAGTGGATGGTCTGGTAGCTACTCATTGGGCAAAGCAAATCTAGCTCAGTGGAGACAACTTTGCATCCTTCACAAGCCGAACAGTTGGTCCATGGAAAACTGTTGCAAGTTGGAAATATTGTAGCAATGTCCCAGAATCGCCCAATGCCAAGTGCCCGGTGCCCATGTCGTGGTTTTCACAGGTGACATTGGCACATCCCCAGCTGCATAGAACTGAACATGTCCTTTTGCATTCTCTTGTCGATTTGGGAATGTAGTTAGACCTCCTGAACAGTCAATGAAATGAATCTGAGCACACGGAGCTCCCAAGCCATCGACAAGATGCATTTATCTCAGTATATTGAATGCACCTTGAAGAAGGCTTGACCAAACTAACAAAACACTAGTCCACCCTTCTATCGCCTTTTGAAGAAATCAATACCACTGCATGTATCAGTTGTCCCAATGGATATTTGTGCAGTAGAGGCTTGGTTTTTGCATAACAAGTCAGGTCTGTACGTGCCGTGTTCTGACATTGTTTTAGGTCAGCTCTTCCTGGCTACTTATGTAACAATGCTGACTCACACTCATGTGCAGGGCACTCCGTGAAGAACCGAAGCTTCAGAACATTCTGATATCCATTGACACCTTTTATGGTGAAGTAGCCAAGGAAGGTGTACGTGCGGGAGCTCATATCGTGAATGATGTTTCTGCTGGCAAGCTGGACAGGACGATGTTTCGCCAGGTGCACTTGTAGCCCAAACATGGTGGGCGAGGGTGCGTGCTGTTGGAGCTTGGCTGCCTTTCACCAGGACACTATGTTCAAAATTGGCCCAAAGCTGCTCTGCTGTTCTGGTGGGACACATACTGTCAAGAGACCAAGCCCCACCTTGTGGAAAGTCAGGTTTCAGAATTCTGGTATTCTGGGATCAGACCTGTTCTGTATGCCCAACAGGACCTGCCTGTTTGTCCATCTTTACCTCCCATATGCTAACTGCACTATTCGCAGATGCTCTCACAGGGTGTTTCACTGCTGTTACCACCATAGTCTTTGCCACAGACTCTGTGGCAAAAGGGATCATGAGTTTGAAAGGACCTGCAACTAGTTTGTCTCCAAGCTGGTCCTCAACTCAGCAATCCATCCCCTGGGTGGGGTTGCTGTTGTCAACTTGAGCCGAGCAATAGTTGGATGCACTCATTGTCATCGCCAAGCTGCACGACATCGGGTTACAGCACACTCCTGGTGCAGCTCTCCTACCACAACACCTTGTTGGCAAATTATCTGTCAGGAATGCCACTTTCATCACAAACAGCAGCAACATAGTTGACTGTGATGTGTAAAGCCTCGATTCTGGGGGACACAACGCATCGCCTGTGAGAAGTCCTGATTAAGCAATGCAGATTACCCAGAGACTCTTCCATTCCTTACAGAGTTTTGCGGTGCTGTGTTTTCATCAGGTGGCCGAGCTCAATGTGCCTTACGTCATGATGCACATGAGAGGCAATCCACAAACGATGCAGCAGGAGGAAAACACGACATATAGGGACATTTGTAAGGAGGTGGGCGAGGAGCTGCAGTGTTCTGTGGAGGCTGCAATGTCGACTGGTGTTCTGGGATGGAACGTTATATTGGACCCAGGTGATAGTCATGGTGTGAATGGATCGATGCCAGGTTGTGTTCCGACCTTTTGCGACCATGCCAGAGCTCCATTAATTTTGGCATTAACTGGGACCTACAGCACTGGTTTGTGAGCTGTTGGGCACAGCCTAAGGCTCACGAATGACACTGTGATTTGGCAGTGGCCCCTATCAGAACTGGTCGTGCTCGAAAAGTGCTGTGACATGCTGCTAACACAGTTGACGCTGACAATGACTGTGTGCCATAATCTGCGAGCTCCGATACTCCTTTTCTGGAGGCTGGTACCTCTGTACCACAGCAAATGAATTAGTCTTTTGATGTAATCTGGAAGGACCAAAACGACTCCAGGAACGGACATGAGACGGTTCAAAGAGATGTATGACATTGGACAAACATGCACCGGTTGATGGACGATTGACATTCATTCCTAAGGTGGTCGCTCATGCAGGATGCGATTGATTTGGCGTGTGGGCTCACTGAGCGGTGTGCGTCAGCTAACTGATGCTTGGTGTGGTGCATAAACAGGGATCGGCTTTAGCAAGACACATGCTGGCAATGTGCAGCTCATTAGGGGGCTAAAGCGTATCTGGCACGAAGGCCTCTCAGGGACCTGCCAACAGATGCCACGGCTATTAGGTGTGTCGCGAAAAGGGTTCATTGGGACAATCACAGAGAAAAAAGATGCACGGCAGCGTGATGTAGCATCAGCGGCTGCAGCCGTTGCATGTGTGGCCGGCGGTGCCGACATCATTCGCGCACACAATGCTGGCTTTACAAGGGATGCCGCGATCATGGCGGATGCAATCTACAGGAAGAAATGATCTTTCAATACTGAAATGGGGGCGATTCCGTAGTTGGGTTACGATCTGCAGGATGCCTTTCTGCGCAGTTTAATTCGTCCGCAGCAGTGGCAGGTTGCCGATTTGCAACCCGGTCCCATGGGGAGGGGCTAGAGTTGTGTTTGGAGAGATGTGCATAGAGACGGAATTATGTAGAGGCTTCTTCGCTGGATGTAACGACTGTACATAGTAGAACTGAGAGAAGACTTTTCAGGCACTGAATGCGCTTTGTTGTGAGGAAAGCCGCACGTGTTCAAAGGCTTTGAGCTTGATAAGCTACCCAAATCAAAATAACATCTTCCCTTAGTCAATTGTGTGGCTACCATGTTTGCGTTGATGTCATCATGTGTACCCAAACATCCAACAACACTTTATGCATGCGCCTCGACATTTGATCAAGGGATTTATACGAGGAAGAGGCTCATAGCCTTGTCTATTGGGATACCTGTGTCCATAAAGCACCAGGACTTACCCATCCCCTGATAATGAAAATGGGCGAGAAATTCGCGCATAGTATTGGCATGCAAAAACTTCTGTCTCCACAGCGTGGCCCAAACCAAAAGCGGCCTTTGGGTACGTGCAAAATGCGCTGAATTTAGCCATTCACCTCTACAAACCCCACGCGCAGAATCCCAACGCGCCTAACAACACTGTAGCTTGTACCTGACCTGTTTTCCACACGAATCCTCATTTTAACCATACCCTTGGAGCGTCCAATTGTCATTGAGGGGATACAAGAACTGCGATCACTGTCGCGCCGATACAGGTCCTGGTGTGACTTAGTCCCGTTTCTTGTGTGTAAGTGACGTTCCCTTGACTAGCATCAAGAAATGGTACGGATCAGGGTGAGGGAGTAGCCATGAGCTCGTTGCCTTTTCTCGAGCAAAGCAGTGTCCATGATTGTTCAATGAAAACCCAAGATGTTTCTAGACGCAAGTAGATGAAAAGGAAGTGGAAGTCGTATGCGCATGAAATACCTTAACTCCCAAAACCGTTGTTAACCATCGTCGGCCAGCACTGAATGCAAGAACTCGTAGACGGCCATGATGCCAAAGGGAATCAATGCATAGCAAATCTTCAGCCAATTCTATTCGGACAATACACTTCATGTGTTATCAAGACAATCTGTGTTCCTTGTGAAAGTCGCAGACATGAGCTCAGAGGCTGCTGGACACTGCCCAGGCTAGTCCCGTACTCCCCATCCGTTGTTCCACAGGAATAATTCACATTGAAGCAGATCAGCGGGAGGCAACATGATGAGCACCGTGCTGAACGTGCAAAACGGCTATCTCATGTCGGTAAATCTCACGTCCTGGATACGGAATAGGATGTTGGGGGACCCCCGGATTCTGGGTATAGAATATGAGATGAAAGCCGCATCCCGGATATACGCATCCAGGATATGTCCATATCCTGGATCTGCATACCCAGGATATGCAGCTTTTGTCCGACGGACAAAGGGCAGACTTTCTACCAACGAGAGGAGGAGGGAAAATCCCTTGATTGACGTTTCCTTGCTTTGGCAGAATTAGGTTGCCGTCTCAATCTGTGCAATCGCAACGTCGTCCCATCGCATCAAGCAAAATCGGCCACCAGACAAGTGTACCAAGGAACCTGATGAACACCAGTTCAGGCGGTACTATTGTACATCAGATGGCGCCCACCAACGCCACCAACCCAACCCCCTCCAGCCTCCATTGGCCATAACTGTTCCAGACCCACAGCAGAACCTCTGCATCCCCCGCACACCAATAGAGTGCCTGGGTAGCACGAATTGTGGCTCAAACATTGAAGGGCAGCACACAACCGGGTGAGATACTGTCCAGTGCACTCTGCGCCACGGGCACTCCGTCTCCAAACATCGCCTGGGCCGCCAGGAGTGCTGATATCCCAGGCATTGACAAAGAGGAGGAAATCCACCCAGACAAAAATCCCGGCAGGAGGGCGGGTGTGTTCTTATCGCGAGCCATCACATGGGCCCCAGAAGCGGGGGACAGCCAGCAACGATAGACACGCAACCAGGACAGAGCACTCGTTTTCTTTTGATATTTTGCAGCTGACAAAGCGCAGAGCGCTCTGCCTTGGACCTTTCAGATTCGGCTTGCCTTCGGTTGGACGGGCAGTCAACGCCACGTCCTCGACCCATGCACGCCATCCCCATTTTGAAGCAGCGCCAATGGCGAGGCCGCGTCAACTCGATTGCTCTCCGCGGCGGCAGCGAGTTACGCGCGGGTGAAGCCTCGGGCGGACGGAAGAAGACTGCGGCAGCCTGCGGCCGTCGTCGCAAGCGACGAACCTGCACGTCCCGCTGCCGCCCTTAGGACTTCCTTGACCGCATCCGTACGGCAGGTCTGCGGAGGCCAACATGGCTTCGGGACAGGGAGTCCGCGCGCACAGGGGGTCAGCTGGTCTGAGGGCCCTGAAACTGCCCCGGCTGCGCCCCGCAGCGCCGGAAGGTCTGAGGCGCACATGGCGGTCGGCGACGACCCTCCCGCCGGCGCTGCTGCGTTTCCGTCCGGTGTGCCGGACGTCGTTCCGGGCGGGAGGGCGCCCCCGAGGGCCAGACGTCAGGACGTCGGCGGCGCCGCCCGAACTGCTCCAGGCGCCAGACGGCCTCGCGGCGGGCCACGGTCTGTGGGATCTCGTGCAATTCCAGGCCGCCCTGCACGCCCTGACCCAGTCCCTGCCCGACCTTGGGCAGGTGGGGCACGGCGCGGATCCCGCTCACGCGACTCCCGTGCCGCTGGAAGGCGTGCTCCAAGGGCTGCGTGACTCGCCTGCTGGGGAGCATTTTCCTGACTTAGAAGCCGCAGCGCGGACGGCGGGGGTGGACGTTGGGGTGGACTGGAACTCGATATTGAATCAGACGGTGGACTACAGGCCTCTGGGGGCGAAGGCTGAGGCTGGTACGGAGCCCGCCCCGCTGCTGGCCGTGGTGGACCAGGTGGCGTCCAGGCTGGCCCAGGCTAGAGACGTCGACGCCCCGTCTTTCCGGGCGCTCCTGTCGGGGACGACGTCCCTGCTGGGCGCCATGGCCTCGTCAATGTCGCGCCTGTCGCTTCCGGACCAGCGCACGGTCGGCTCCGCCGTCCGGGACTTCGTAGCCGCGGAGGGCCAATCCTCGGAGGGGCTGGCGGAGGCCCTGGACTTCAGGCGGGTTGCGTCCCTGGGTGCGAGCGCCCGGGGCGTCGCCCTCCTCCTGGGGGCCTCCGTCGCCGTGATTTTGGCGTGCCTTCCGACGAATCTGTCCGGAGAGGGCGGAGAGGGGACCGATGGGGGCGTCGACACGCTCGTGGCCGAGTACGACGCCCGCCGGCTGTCGGATTTCTGGGCCGGGCGGCGCGCCAGCGTGCTGCGGCGCCAGGCCGCGGTGGGCGCGAAGGCCATGGGGTTGCTGACGTCCCTGCTGGTGGAGTGGCGGCTGGGCACCCTGGAGTCCAACATGGCGGCCCTGGCGAGGCAGTGCCGGGCTACCATCGAGGACCTTGGCCCCGCCTTCGTAAAGCTGGCGCAGGCCCTCTCCACCAGGAGCGACATCTTTCCTCCGGAGTTCTTGCAGGAGTTCTGCGGCCTGCAGGACCGGGTGCCCGCCTTTGACGACTCCGCGGCGCTGCGCGCCCTGGACGTGGAGCTCGGAAGGCCGCACGGCGCCGTCTTCGAGTGGCTCTCCGACGGGCCCATGGCGTCCGCGTCGCTAGGGCAGGTCTACCACGGCCTGCTGAAGAGGCAGTTCGGGGGCGGGGAGGTGGCCGTCAAGGTGCAGCGCCCCGACATCGTCGAGGGCATCGCCCTGGACGTCTTCCTGCTGCGCCGCATGGCCGCCGCCCTTGCCATGTTCCCCACGCTGCACAGCAACTGGTCCGCCACATTCGACGAGTGGGCCAGGCGCTTCTTCGACGAGCTGGACTACACCAAGGAGTGCCGCAATGCCCTGGCCTTCAGGGACCAGATGGCGAAGCTGCCGGGCATCACCGTTCCGCGGATGTACCCCGAGCTGACGACGCGGAGGGTCATGACGTCGGAGTGGGTGTACGGAGAGAAACTGTCCGCCGCCACGGTCATAGACTCGCGGGCCACCCTGCGAACCATCCTCAACTGCTACCTCATCCAGCTGCTGGAAACCGGGTTCCTGCACGCCGACCCGCACCCCGGCAACATCCTGTGCACCATGGACGGCAAGATCTGCATCCTGGACTTCGGCCTCATGACGGAGGTGTCCAAGGAGCAGCGCCTCGCGCTGATAGAGTTCATAGCCCACCTGTGGTGCGAGGACTGGGAGGCGGTGGCGGCGGACCTCGGGAACCTGGACTTTCTGCCGCAGGGGGTGCGAATCGACGACAATCGAGAGTTCCAGGTTCTACTGGAGCGCATTTTCGGGGACATGGTGAACGGCGGCGGGCTAAGGGTGGGAAGGATAAAGTCGGAGCTGTCCCGGGCGGCCAGCGACCACAACCTCGTGATCCCGCCCTACTTCATGCTCATCCTCCGCGTGTTCTGCATCATCGAGGGCGTGTCCCTGAGCATGGATGACAGGTTTGCAATCGTTGGCGAGTGCTTGCCTTATTTGGCGAGGCGCCTTCTTGTGGACAAGGACCCAAAGGTGCAGGAGACGCTGAAGGTGTTGCTGTACGGCGAGCACGGCAGGCTGGACGTCGAAAGGCTGCGCAAGCTCGTTTCTGCGTTGGCGGCGTTCACAACAGGTGGGATCCCTGGTTTCTCATCAACACCATGAAATGTCCTGCCCTTTGCCGTAGACGCCCACTTGACACGATTTGGGCAACTTTGGAAACGCGACTCCGAATTTGCCCCGCTTTGATCGCGCGTCACCTCCAGGTCCCCATGGCGATGTTCTTTCATCTTTTCCCTTGATCTGAGACATCGATCATGCGCGATCGACACCATGGTGCGACCGACCGCACACCCTACAAGTCTGATCTGCACGCACAGCGCTCCTCGTCACTAGGGGAAAAGGGGTAAATAACACGTGCTCAAACGTGTGCAAGTTCATGTTTTTTTTTGTTTCTTAGCGAATAGAACATTGGTAAATGCATTTCATAATTCAAATCCGAAATTGACCTTCATGGCCATCACCACCTTCACGACTTTCAAGTCCGGAAATAAAGAGCATTGGACATTGTAATCAATTGCTGCGCCCGCCAGCTGACGGCATTCCGCTTGTGTTCGCCGCCCTCCACAGACGGCTCGCGTACAGAAGTCCCAGACCACCGCCCACAGGATTTCTTCCTGACTCTGGAGGAGCGCGTGAAGGGCCATACGCCGGCATCCGTGGGCTTCGACGGCGCCCTGTACGCCCAGCCGGGCCCCGTCTTCAACGAGGCGGTCAAGGAGACCCTGCGCACGGTGTTCTCGCAGGAGGGCTCCTACGCCCAGCAGCTCCTGGTGGACGAGATGGTCACGTCCGTGGAGACCATGTCCCTCGCGGCCCTTGTGGAGCTCTTCCACATGGTCCTGGGCAGTATCTCCGCCTTTGTGACCCTCGCACCGCCTGCCGGCCGGCAGGGGGGCCTGGCCGCCGCCCTGGCGCCGCTCATGAACACCATGACCAGCGTCCCCTCCATGATCAACGTCCCTGTCGGGGAGCTGACTGATGAGGACAGGCACATCCTGAACAACGCGAGGGCCATCCTGGGCATGATGGAGCCGCGCACGGGCCTGGCCGCGAGGCCGCTAGTGGCCCTCTCCGCCGCTAGGGACATGCTGCCCCTGGCCTCCGAGCTGCTGCCGGGCCTGGTGTCCACGCTGGTGATGTGCGCGCAAGAGTTTGCACGCAGGAGAGCCCTCCAACTGGCGGAGGACCTGGACCCCAAGGGACGGGCGTCGCCCGGGGGGGACGCCTTTTCCTCCATCGTGTAAATTGCCGCGGCCGGATGCGTCTTCCGACGGGCCTGCTGTGCTGCATGGCGTGGGCTTTAGGCTTGGACTTCGGGCCATTTGGTCATTGGAGGCGTGTCTCGGCGACAGCACAGTAATTAATGTATTTAAATGTTGAAAATTGAGACGGGAAAGGGCATACTCAGACGATTCTTCAGGGAGCGGGCCACCGAAGAGTTGCGTCTCCCGACTTCACATGCGGTGCTTGAGCAGGTCATTGCGCAACTTGCAATGAGTGTATGCCTCACAGCCCAATGCAAACAGTGCGCCCAATGCCTCAATGCATGTTTTTGGAAAGACATACAGGTGAAAACCAGCTGGGCATTGTTAGGTAGAGAGGACCGCCACCTGGTAGCGGCCATCTCGGTTGTTGTGCAGTGAACAGTATCGAGCACACGAGCAAGTCCAAAGAATTGTCCAAACGCCGTTCTCAGAACTGCGATAATGGCCTCTTTCCAGGCCTTGCAACGCCCTTTGAACGCACGCATGGCACCATCGCACGGGACAGAGAGCAGGATTTCCGAGCAGCCATTGAACAGCCCTGATACGCTGGCCTTGCTCACACCTTGCTGGTACTGAGTAGCTGTCGCAATGGTGATCCGCACACTTGAGAAGGCATTCTCGGAAGCAATCTGCATTGAACATCGGATATCTCGAGACGGATTGAAGTTGCCTGGCAAGGCATGAAGGGACCCATACACCAATTCCATGCAACCCCGAACCCCTCTATGAACTGCTGCCCTCCAATTTGCATAGCATCATTCGGCCGGCCCACGCATTCCGACCGTTCTATTCCGTCGTCACAACAGGTCCCCGTCACGGCGAACCCCTGAAGCAACAAGGCAGCTTCGGACAGCACGGTCCCCTTCCCGACAGAACTGATGACATCACAAGGAGTCTGCTGTGCTTCTCTCCAGCTCCTCCACCCTTGATTTGCAGAAGACGGAAGGGCGCCAAAGTACACAGCCAATTGAATAGCTAAATGAATTCAAGTTTACACGACGGAGCTCTTCCTTATCAGCAACGCGGACAGCACCATTATGTGCCTGCGCACAACGTGCACGCAGTGCATCGAAAACTATGGTCCGCATCTACAAAAGCTGAAACTAGGCTGGCGACTCATCACACCACCCATTATTGCGGACCAATTATAGGATTCCTATTGCCCACTCATGCCCTGCCGCACCTCGATTCGTGGCAAGCCTGCCTACTGGAACGGCGCATTATTCACGCATTGTCGGGAAACATAAGCTCCGCCACCAAGTTGGAAATTAGTCATAGGCGGATGCCCTTGGCACCACGCAGCAAATGAGGCTCTTGAGCCCAGACTTGTGGACCTTTTTGTGATGAACCTGTGGTGGGGTTTTGAAGTGAACCTCAGGCAATTCCATGGGCGCCTCTGGTGTCACGACTGTGGGCTCTTCGTCTCGGACACATGCATTGGTGTCTGTTGAGCACTTGCTCCCGTCTGACTCTTCGGTCCTTGGGGTAAGCTGCTTGCACTGCGAAGCCTGCATACAACGTGATGAACGCACATCAGCAGAAGGAACCTGCCTCCAACTTATAACTGCCGGCAGCCTTGACGTTTCCATTCAACGTTCCACGTTTCGCAGCACGTTCTGGAAGGCCACATTGGCATGCAAATCGTGTTAATGGCAAACCCCTGAGGCCCAGCAACAGACTCTGATGCCCTCCACCACAAAGAACAGTGCAGGGGGAATTTCGAGGGTAAAGTTGCAGCCATTTCCGGCAGTTGGACTGGAAGCCCACCCCATTTGGCTGGAGTCGCGCCGTCAGGCACGTTTCCTTACCAGGGCACAAAAACAGAATGCGTGAAGGGTAACGCATGCATTCAGAGGGCTCGGTTCTTCATGCCAAATTGAAGAATGGGGTGCCTGCTGTATGGCATGCTTAAGTTCTTGTTCAAAGAGCAAATCTCAGCAACTCTAATCTGCAAAGGCCACAGTGTGAGTTCATGGTACCAGCCAGGACAACTGAAGAGTGCTTCAAGATAGTCGGTTCACCTACTTACCACTTGGTCGTCTGTTGTTGTCGACAAGATGCTTTCAGTACTCATGGACATCCTACAACACATGCAGGGTTCAGAATCGGTATTCACCACCTGTTGAACCTCAAGTTCTCAAGGTTGGGGATTGTTCATAAAGCTTGTGAATCACCCTTGAGTGAGAATCCTGCCATTTGTCCCCTTGTGTAAGTACCAGTTGATCATTTGCTGGGCATATTCCACAAGATACAAAAAAATCTGTGCAGCCAGGCAGCAAGCCAATTACATCGTCGCAAGCTTGTATGAGGCTGGCTTGAGACCGAGAAAAGGCAGGGGCCACACTAAAATGGCAATAGATGAACCACGGAGGCAGGAACATTGCCTGGCGCCAAGCAAACATTGACCAGCAGATGTGGTGCCACTGTCTGATGCACTGTCAACCCCAGCATCAGCTTCGTCCAATGATTTCCACAGCAGTGGTCACCAATGTGTCTAGGCTGATGCACAAGTTCCAAATACAGAACATTCACATGAAACAACCCTCAATTTCCAATGGTATTGCACTGCAAGAGTAGAGGGCGGCTGTGACATATAAGGGGCCACAGTCACAGGGCATTTTGGAGGTCTCCTGACACTTAGGGTGTGTCCATTTCCTTGACAGCATAATGAACAAGGCAAGTAAGCTGCATGCGCCATGCTGACTAATTTGCAGTGGACAGCTTGTGCCCCCTGTTGCAGTTCGCATGCCTACATGGCCAACAAGCCTTATCTACAGATTGCACTTTGCCCACAGAGCGCAATGTTCTCTTGCCATGGATGCTTTGGTCCACCTTGGCTGCCAAGGCCATGTCAAATCCAATACCAACCAGTGGTATATGAACGGGTGGGAAACACCTGAACATCTGCCAGTAGCCATTGCTACATGACTGTGAAAACCAGTAATTGATGACAGCAAACTTGCCATTCCTAAATGAGAAAGAATAGATGTCCAATACTCCATCAATCGGCAGCTCTGCAGGCCACCATGTTCTGCAAGTGCTGCCCAACACCACAGCCCACTGATGGTACCTGGGTTTTCTGGGCACTGGAGGCAACTTCTTGGGCTTCTTTGCTCTGTGCTCTTCCTTTTGTATTCGCTGCTGGAACGAAGTCGTTGGGGCCATGTAGCTAGGGGACTCCGATCGATATCTAGCACTGTTTGGTGCCTGCGCAGTGCCGTGGAGACTCTCAGCAACAAGGAATCCAACCCTGCACCGTCACCGCGAGCGCCACGCAGGTCATGCTGCTGGGTACCAGCCGACCACCAGGACCAATCAAACCAGGTTTCCCAAAGCCGCGGGTCTGGGGTGCCGCCCCAAGTTGGGACACAATCAAACGCCCCTCCTTTGCCCGTCTGCTTTCGGCAGCGCTTGTCTTCGCGCACCCACATTCACACGGCCCCTGAGTGCATGTTTTCTTGCCTTTTAGGTTGCTTCTGTTGTGTGCTCATTATTTTGCATCTGTATCATCTTTTCACCGCAAGGAAAAGAGCCTCGCATACACTTGCTCAGTGGGGGCTCCCTTCGAATGTGGCCAGCTTCCTTCTCTCTTTTCTGTAACAAGTCTCACCCACCTTCACGCTCGCCGTGTCCGAGTCCGCCTTCGAGCGCCCCAGTTCTATGCTGTTCCCGGCGGCCCTGCGGCGGCGCGGGGTGGGGGGCGTCGGCGTGGCGGACGAGCTCCTGCTGGAGGGCACCTTGCCGGAGGGCATCCACACCTTCACCTGCTGCTGGCGAGCCCGCACCTGCGCGGGGGCGTCCCTGGGAAAGGGGCTCCTCCTCTGCAGGCCGTTCTGGTGGCCGTTGCAGGCCGGGGACGCGGGCATGGGCGACTGCGGGGGAGCCATCGCGACGGACGCCGTGATGAAAGCCAACCTGCAGGGAGAAAACCAACGGAGTTTTCACGGCACAGCCCACGTGGACCCCAGAAGGGGGACCGAGAAGAGAGGCCATAGATCACAACGAGACGGCCCCGTCGGGCTCCCTTAGGCCCGATCGCGCTTGGGAGACCGGCCCGGTGGGCCGACGGGTGGACTTGAGCTGCGCCCAACACCGATGACATCATCTGCGGATGTTTGCAAAGGGACTTGGGGAGGGCGGGACCCGCTGGGGCGGAAGCGCCCGGCTGGCCGGCCTGAGAAAAAAGGAGCACGGGGGCGCTGTGTGGCGGCCGGGAGCCACCCGCACCGCATTTTCGGGTCCATGTTGCAATGAACGACGACAAGGGGACTCCGTGAAGGATTCGCGATGGTGCGGCACGACGGCTGCTCATCGAGACAAAGGCGGCCACGTCGTTGCGGCGGCGGTCGCGTGGCAGCCGCCGATCGGGCACAGAATCTGTCGGCATGCCTCGGCGGGCGCCGGCCCCGAAACCGCGGACGCCCGAAGCTCAACGCGCGATTCACATCGTTCGACTCGCGATGCTGCCAGCCCGCACGCGTGCGCCGCGGGTCGCCCACTCGCCTATGTCGGGCTCCTTGCCTTCAGGCGATGGGCGCAGCGCGCGTTGAACGACGGCTGGCCGCCAGCCTCCCCAGGTGAAACCTCCAGATACGCCGGACTGCCCCACCAGTGGCGCCCGCCCCTCCGAACGCCCCCACGACTGCCCGTGGCTGTCAGGTATTACCAATATAGCAAAGCCCGCGTGAGGGGAGCTGTCGAGGAGCCGCTGGGGCGCGCTGGGCGGTCGGGCCGCGCGCTGGCGGACATCGAGCGGAAAATTCGCTGTACATTGGGCATGCGGGAACATCAGCAGCGGAACTGTGGGCGTGTAGTACGGTGGCGAGAGCGGGCTGGGCGACATGCAAGGGGTAGTGACAAGGGATCAGCACGGCCGCCAAGAGGGTGTCCACGCGATTGCGGCTCGTGATGTCGGGCTGGGAGGGGTCTGTCCGTCATCACCGCTCGCTTGTCGATGCGCGACTCAACCAGGTCCGTCATGGCGGGGGACTGCTGGGAGGGGCAACCAGGGTCATGTCGTCGTGCATGCGCCCTTGCCGTATCCTGGCTTGAAGGGGTGTAGCCATTCCCGCGACGTGTGCCGCGGTGCCGGAATATGCCCTTTCAGCCTCGCCATCGAGCGAAGTGCGAACGGAAAGGGGTGGGCCGCACGTCAACACGCCCGCGGCCGCGAGCGGCCAACCTCTGCAAACGCGCCGCCGCTTGGCGCTCATGGCTTTTTGCCTTTCCCAGTCAGTCATGGTCGCAGAGAGTTCGGCATCGCTGATAGCTGACGTCCACTTGCTCCCTCTGTTATTTTTCAAGTCAGCGCGCCCCGTACCTCAAGCACAAGTCATCAGGAAGGCGGGGATTCCAGGAGAAACACAGAGGGAATAGACTTTCCTCGCGACCTGCGCGTCTTGGCCCTCCAAAGCCCATGGCGGGAATGGCAACACACGCAGCGCGGTCCACGGACTGCCACGATCGCAAGGCGCCAATGCACACCGCACAAATTGATCCAATTGAGAGCACACATTCCGCCAATGTGCAGTGCACAGCATGCTTCCCCGAAAAAGGACGTTTGCGTTCGCTCTTGGGAAACCCCGTTTCGCGAGGCATTTCCTCCCATTTCTCCACCTCAATGCGACCATAATTTGCGCCACTACGGCCGCATCCGGTTCAACCCGTTCCGCTATGGTTTCCAAGGCCCCACCCCTTGCCCCACGGCGCAAACGATCCCCAAGGTGCAGCAGACGACAGCCCCCTCCCGTTTTCTCAGGCCACCCAGTTTTACGGCGGCCGCCGGGGCCGAGGGCCGCGCAGGGGATCCTGCCCGCACCGAGCGACGCAAGTGACGCGACGGAAGCTCACCCACACGAGCCTTCCAACGTACGCAGTTGCCGCTTGCCGTGCACGGCGCTCAAAAACTCGCGGCTGACGACCCGTTAGAAGAAAGCCTGGCCAGCACTGTCAACGTTTGAATGTCGGTATAATGGTGCGATGGCGGCAGGCAAAGCGTCCACACTGCCAGGAGGGCACATCACATGAGCCCCCGTTGCACCGCCGTGGTTTTGGCACCAGAACATGTCGAAGCTCATCGCCACTCGAATGTGTCGCAACGCCGCGGCTCCGGCGCTTCGGGGAGCCCGTCGCGTCGTCCCGCTGGCTCTGCTAGCACCCGCGCGGGAGACAGCTTCCGGAGAGAAATGCCACAAACGAGCACAGACAGCCGTCCACACGCGCCCATCCCGAAAAGCAGGCAGGGTGGAATCCGGTGCATTACCTTGCGGGGCGTCTCGTCCCCCTCCTTCCGGCTTCGGTGATCAAAACCCGGTCGCAGGGCGGCTCCCTTGTGCTGATGGCAACCGCGCTGCGTGCCGGTTTTGTACTGCCAGCGCTCGTGCGGATGTTTGGCCAGGCGTCAGGCGGGATGCCGGGTTACGTGCCCGCGGTGCGGCCCTCCGTGCCCTTCGCGGGGGTGCCAGGACTGCCCGCTTGTCGAGGGGCTCTGGGATGATCGGCACCGCCGCCGCGTCAAAGAGCCGAGGAACATCGACGGGCCGTGGGCTGATGGAGGTCGGAGGGCACAAACTGACCAAGGTTCGTTTGTACCTCGAGGGTTCGAAGTTAGTAACGCCTTTGGTGGTCAGACAGACTGGGTTCACGGAGCGGTGATCCATGCGGATTGGAATGGCGGGACTGGGCTCCTTCGTTGTGTTGAAGCGATGCCTTGAGCGGCCATTCTGAGAGACCATGCTCCCCCACCGGACTGCGGCAAATAACATGCCAGAAGGGGAACATACGCACACAGGATAACGGCATCAGTGAAAGCATCCATAAGGTTCAGCTAACCCACCAGTTGGAATCAAAGAATGCCCAACGTTTGGACCATCATTGAAGATGCACCGTCTGCGAATTGGGGACACAGTGGCCCCTTTGAATCGAAGAATGGAAGTGCAACATGCAGCGCAGCCGAGAAACCCATGCACACACATGTACTCACGGTGATCTGCGGAACCATCGCAACGAGGGACTAAAACAATTGTCGCAGCAAACCCCATGGAAACGACAGCTGCGACACTGGGGCCACGAACAAGATCACACGCCAGAGTGAAGTGCAGCAAGGAATGGCTACTCTGCAACTTCAGAAAGCACATGACGGTCAGACGCATGCAGAAAATGTCCATGCATCACGGACGACCATTGGCGCCCAAGATGTGGTGAACGTCAAATTCACCGCATCTGCATGGCCGGCAGACCAGCGGACCACCGTAGCATCAATCAGCAGTGTCTATGTCCCCGCTATCTAAAAAACCATTTGATATGCGAGAAAGAGGCCCCATTCTATCGTGAGGGACCTCTTAATTTTGCCTGCATAACTTGTACAAGCGATCAAAACAACACCACAACGACTGCTCCAGCTCCGCGCATGCGAGCAAAGGGGTATATCACGCGTTGAGCTCGAGCCCAGGCAGGGTGACCATAGAACCATGGTGATTCCGGGTTGAACAGGCAGGTAATGTTGGTTGCCCCAGGCGAGGCAGATGGATAGAGAAAACGAGGTTGCAGCTGTTTCTGGCCATGCTCTCATTATGAGCGTCTATTTAAAGATGTCGCGTTTTTTTCATCTGCGTCCCCTTGCGATGCTTTGGCGATCGCTGTGACCCACGTCAAGGAATAGCTTGGGTCTGTCCTGTTTGCATTTCATTCCTATGTTGCACTATGGCAGAGGATTATTGATGGTTGAGTGGGGACAACATTTTGGGCATTGTGCACATGGCATACACCCCCATCGATTGTGCAGTGGAGCCCGAACGGCAATATGCAATGCAGTACCGAGATTCGCAGGCGTGCGCATTACTATGCGTTGCCTTAGCCTGCGCCTCCCCTCGCTCTCGCGAGCAGGGGAACGCAGCACATGTGCATGATGTACATCGTGGCTGTCATGCATGGCCCACTGCTGCAGGCTCCACACCCGGCTGCAAACAGGATTACAATTGTGGACCAAGGCCTTGGCCCAGCTCCATGCACATTAAACAAATGATAACGCACACTGCCCAGGCCGAAAAGACTGAGGAAACGCCCACAGTACAATTGGGGCTGGAGCTTGCCCCGGCACCCAGAAAGCATCAATTGTTTTCTTGGTGTAGTCGGCACAAACCATTGTGCAACCACAATGTGGCGTGAAGGGTGTTTGGCCCTCTGGCGAATAGGCTGCTGTGGCGTGCCATTCAGAAGGGCGAGCAGATACAGGTGTTGCTTGTGTGCATAGTCGCAGGCAGGCAGTGGCACCACTGCGGCAGAATGGTTTGACTACTGCAGGCAACGTCCCCATAACCTGCTGGGGTAAATTACCCCGTCATGCAGAGGCAGTGTCCACCACCACTACGGCTACACCCTTGTCCTGGAATACGCGGACGGGGTGCACCGTGGACCATATCCATTCAGTGGGCTGCTGTGCAATGGAGGGGCGTGCCTCTTAAGAGTCTTACCTCCCAACAAGAAAAGTTGCGTTATAGGTGGACAGAATTCCTCTCTCTGCTCACGGGCTTCGCCAAGAATCTCCAGGCTACTGTTCCTGCATATGCATGCGACTTCCTCAGCTTGACTGCCACCTGAGCTCCGCCCAACAGGCGGAAGGTATTCCATTTGTCCTATCGAACAACAAATTGAGATAGGTACAGGGCATGAATGCCCCTGTGGTAGAAGCCATGCCCCAGAGCTCGTTGCACTGGCATGAATTTCCACACACAATTCTATGTGGGAGACTATGGCCGGCGCCCTTCTTCGGCTCAAACGACGGGAAACGTTCGACTGGAAATGTTGGGGACCGCTGCCCATTACTGTGCGACTATGCGGATGTAGAGCCCTGCGTTGCCCATGACTTGCTGTACATGTTTTAACGAACACGTGACGAGAACACGTGACCCACTACTGTCTATGCGTTTGTTTTGTTGCGGGACTGATGCTGACACCTGATCAATGGCTTAGGTGCAGAGCATAGAACACCTCATGATGCTGAGTATGCAATCAGTACAGATCCCACAATGTTCGCATCACCCCACGTGCTGTTGGTAGACCACATAATCATCAGTCATGGCCACTCTCTGTCCGTTGCCACTAGCAAACCAACAGTTTTGCACCATTTCCCCGTATTATTGTGACTCTTATCTTCAGCCCTCGACCCGTTTTAGCAACCGATGCATGTGTCTCCGAAACAACAAGCGCCCATCCACAGAGCATGAAATTCGTGCATATTCGTTTCCTAAGATGCAATGGCAGTTCCCCTTGCACGACGGCCATGTGTTATAGTCAGGCAATCCCACGCAGCACGTCCTTCACTTGTACCATAGAAAGGGGTAGCTCAGATGGGGCAAACCGCCTCGTTACTCCACGTAGCTTCCACACTACTCAATCAGAGTGCAGTGGCATCTGAAACACCGTACTACGCACAGCTCTTGTTGTCCCGCCACCTCGTGCACCCATTACTGCCTACATTCCTGCTTACATGTGCACGATGGCACTGCCAAATAATTCTGCTTTTGCCTTCTCATGTCCCTTGCCCACCATGCCCAACCCTTCTCCCCTAAATAGGACAACAGGCTATCTCTTCTCACTAGCAGCCTCTGTACATCAGCAATCAGCCACTTGTCTTTGCTCCTCCGGCCATCACATTCCCTTGAGCGATGTTTGCCACCCCCGTTTAAAAAGAGAACAAGAACAACAATGGCACAATATGAAGCCACAACATGAACATTCTTGGTCTGCCATACACGCCAATTGTTTACCTTGATGTCATGAGGGCGGCCAAGAGTGCATGTTGTGAGAGGTATCACTCTTCCTGCATTTCTTTTTACATGTTGCGCTGAGCCCTGTGCTCTTCAGGAATCTGGACTTGCGCTGAAAGCTTAAAGAACACCTCTCCTTGTGTGTTTTGCGACAAGTTCACTTCCCCGGTTTTCAGTGTGGGGGGCAACATGATGTGGGCTCCGCTGAAAGATGGAATATGTGCACTTCTATCCACACTTTTGCTGCATCACATACCAGTCTCCCGAGGCGCTTCTGAACCAATTCAGAGCAGCGAACACTAATCAAGCAACAAAGTGCATCACACACCAGTCTCTGGAGGCGCCTCTGAACCATTTCAAACCAGCGGACAACAATCAAGCAATACATGTGCATGGGTTTTATGATGTTCCATGCCAAATCGCCGTCAACAACACTTCCACACCCTGATTCGACACAAATGCCAAGATACATGGCTGGAGTTACACTCTCTTCACAAGTTATTCAAGGGCATTCTTAGACAATAGAATTCAAGCAGCCGAATCAGCACTCAAGTCTCAGCACAACAGAATGCAGGACATCCTCAAAGGGTGAATGATAACGATAGCAATCACTGCACAGCACATTCCCATAAATGTAGCCGATTTCCACAGTGTATTGACACCATTTCAGCACTTTCCAATTCATTTATGACGATAGAACCAAGACAGTGAAATCAGCAGCGGCCCCCACCATCACACAACCAGCACCATCCCAGGCACTGCTGTCACCCTTCAAAGCCAGTGACAGTATAAGACATCCAGCAAGCAGTGATCCCTGCCAATACAGCACCATCACCATCACCAGCACTCCACCCACCCTCGCAAATAGCAACGCAAAATAATCATTACTGCTTCTTCGCGCTTGCGAGATATCGGCATCGGAATGGCGGTTCTACCTGGGGTTGCCAGCAGATTGCTGTCGATGCACATCGCGATCACTTACGCGCCAAGCTTCAAGTGCCTCCTGAGCAATCCAATACAGTAGCCAGAGATAAACTCTGCAGCCGAATCCGGTCCTCCAGGACTGCAAAGCAACAGGTCGGCCGATGGTCTTCACACTAGTGGTCCTGCAGCATGACAGAAAGACTGCTTGAGCTGTAGTTCAAGATCAACAACAAAGACAACAGGTGTGGTACGCAGTTGATCAACCAAAAAGGAATTATTGAGCATTTTAGATGCACAGGTGCTCATCTCCAAAGTACATGGGCAACACTTTGCTGTGCGGAAGTTCAGGTATGCAAAGGAGTTCAGGAACAAGTAAGCGTGTTGGGAAGCTCGCCAGTGTGGAATTTCATAGGTGTAGCCAATAGTCCAGATGCCAATCGTCCATGACACTATTCCAGTGGCTGGCAGCAGACCAAGAGAAGATGTTGAGAGGGTGCCAGGGCACAGGCGCTGCCCCAAGGACCATAGACAGCCCATATACACTGCTGGCGCGTTGTGCTAGCGCTCGATGAGGACAACCACCCCTGGGGCCCACACTGCGTTTCATCGCCAGCCTGTCCAACGTCGGCAAAGCTGTCAGGGGCGGCAACTGGCAACGCCCCGGCAGCAGCGCGCAAACACACCCCAAACAACGTCCGCAGCCTCAGCTCAGGTCACAGGCCAGATCCCTCCTGTGCGCGGCAGTCCGCCACTGCAGTCCCCCGATTCGACTTCCCTGATCAATTGTTCGCGTCAGCTACGAAGGCCCAAACCCTGCGGACGCAGGGACCCACCTGCGGCCCCTCAGCCGAAGAAGGGCGCCCCGCAGGTGCACTTCTTCCGGTTGCCCATGCACACGCCCTCGAAGCAGGGATACTTCTTTGCGAAGGACTCGTCCACGGGCGCGGCCAGCAGCGCGGCCTCCACCGACTTCCACACGCCCGGCGCGTTGTGCACCTGTCCAGGCGTCGCAATGCACGCGCGTCAGTCCCACGCAGTCCCACTGACTATCAGTACCTCAGCACCTTCACCAGTGAGTGGCGGTCAAAGCACATTTAATCCCACGGGCCCAAGGACGCTATTTCGGGGCAAACCTGGCGCGCAGGCACTGACGACCGTGTTACGTCCGTTGCAGCACGGCCAGGGCGCGCACCCCGCGTTGGCCCCCACCTGGCGGTAGTAGTTGAACAGCTGCATCGACTTGAGGGCGTCGCCCACGGCGTTGTGCGGCCCGCCGCCGTTGCCGTAGCCCAGCAGCACCTTGGCCAAGTGGTCCAGCGAGAAGATGGACACGCTGTTGTAGGTGGAGTTCCAGATCCGGAACAGGCCCGCCAGGTCGATCATGGACTCGAAGTCCGAGCCCTCGCGCAGCGACAGCCAGCCCACGTCCTTTCCGATGCTCTGGCCCACCAGCACCGCGTAGGGCGGCAGGTAGCTGCGCAGGCACTGCAGCGCCACGGGCAGGGGCACGCCGTGCCTGTCCAGCACGTCGCTGCTGAGCCCCGTCAGGGGCGACAGGTAGGACTCCACGGGCGCGTCCGGCTTGACGTAGATGTTCAGCAGCACGCGCTCGAACTCGTCCACCAGCGAGATCTGCCCCACGCTGCGCGCGTTGTGGTCGGTGCCCGTCGCCACGCACTCCACGTCGATCGAGAAGTACTTGGCCTGGCCGCCGGGCGGGTGATACGTGCCCCCCCCGGAGCCAATGTACTGCGCCATTTGCTGCTGGTGCCGGTTCCCTGGGGCGTGGCTGGGACGGCCCCTGCCTTGGTAGGCCTGGTGCTGGGGAGGCATGCCGCCTCGAGGCATCTCACCCCATCCCCTCTCGTTCAAGCGCCCTCCTTTTCGATCCCCTTCCGCGAAGGGGCCCGATGGCTGATGGCGGTGGCCGGTCAGGCCGTGCCCATGGCTGCGGTGGCCCTGGTGGCGCGGCTGCGCCGTCGGACGGTGTCCTGGATGGCGGGGAAGTGCGGCGGAGGGGGGGTGGGAGGGGGGTTGGGAGTGACGTTTCTGGGTGGGCTGGCCGACGGCTGGGCGGGCTTTTCGGGCGCCCTGCGGGGGAATAGTAATGTTCTGTTTTTGGCGTCCGGTGCCATTCATATGACCAAATACTATTGGCGCTGACGAAGGCATCGAGGGGTGGCGGGTGCCGGCCATTTCGTCTAAAGACAACTCGTCTAACGGACAACTGGTCTAAGGACATTACGTCTAACGGACAACTCGTCTAAAATTTCGTTGACCCAAGTTGACTCACTCATATCCACATCGCAGAAGCAGCCGGTGCCCCGGGGGCCCTCACCCGTCCAGCGCATTCCCCTAACCCCAAAAACCAACTTCATCCCATTCGGTGAAACCCGTTGACCGGTATCGCAGTTCAGCATTTCCTGACAAAACCAACTCACTCACATCCGCATTCCAGCTGAAGCCGGTGACCTGAAGGCCCTCACCCGTTCAGCGCATTCCCCTAAACCCCAAAACAACTCACTCACATCCGCATTCCAGCTGAAGCCGGTGACCTGAGGGCCCTCACCCATTCAGCGCATTCCCCTAAACCCAAAACCAACTCACTCACATGCGCATTCTTGTTGAAGCCGGTGACCTGAGGGGCCTCACCCGTTCAGTGC